CTGTGATTCTTTCAAATAATCTGAAATGCAATGTTGCTTTTCTTGAGTTGCTCTCTGGGTGAAAGAACAAATGAACTAAAGAAATTCAAAAGTTCCTTGCTCAGCCGTTGCCCATACCTGCCTGGCAAGTCACTCTGTGGATTTGCATCATGGAAGACAGACTGACAAACATCATTTGCATGTTTGTGTTTTATTTCTTTCATTTCATAGAATATATAATCTCAAATCCAAAATCATTTAACCCAAGATCCTTTCTTCAGCAAGAACTGGTTTGCTTGTTTTTTGAATGTCTTAACAGGCTAGAGTGTCACCCTTATCCAAGGCTTGGCTTTCTACAGCTTCAGTTATTATGGCAACAGTGGTCTAAAACTATTAAATGGAAAATTCTAGAAACAAACAATTCATCAGTTTTGTGCTCTATGTCATTTTAGGTGACATGATGAAGACTCACATTGTGCCCACTCTGTCCTCCATGGACACACATGACCCCTTTGTCCATTGTATCCATGCTGTATATGCTACCACCTGTTAGCTGCTTAGTAGCTGTCCTGGTTATCAGATTGTTACTGTATTACAGTGCCTGTGCTCAACTAGCCCTTATTTTACTTAGTAGTGGCCCCAAAGAGTAAGAGTAGTGATGCTGGCAATTCAGATAAGTCAAAGAGAAGCTGTAAAGTTCCTTTAGGTGAAAAGATTAAAGTTTTGAACTTAAGGGGGAGAACAAACCAATAACTAATAAGAACAAATCTTCTGTGAAACTGTGACAGAAGAAAAGGATATTTGTGCTAGCTCTGCTTCTGCACCTCAAATGGCAAAAGATACTGCCACAGTATAAGAGCCTGGCTAAGATGGGAAAGCACTGCATTCGTAGATGTATGTGTAAAAAAAAACCAGTGCATTAAGATTTGGTACTGTCAAAGGTGGGGATGGATATCCTAAAAAATCAAAGGGAAATCAGTAGGGGAAAAGGACCAAGGGGTGGGAGGGGGAGGGAGGAAAGCAATGGGAGTGATATTGGCCAAATTACACATATCCCATCAATACTACAACTGTAATGCACTCAAAAAAAAGATCTAGTACTATCTGTGGTGTCAGGCATCCATGGAGTCCTGGAGTGTGTGTCCCCAGGGATAAGGGGGCTACTGCATTAACACTTAAAAGTTAAAGTTGAGGAAAATCTTTAAAATTACATTTGAAGAATGGCAAACGTAAATAGAATTAGACAATCTGCCAACCTTCCTTGTGCACCTGAACCAGCACTATTTTAAGACACTATAAACAAAAACACGGATAAGGTTCCAAACCTGCCTGCCTCTTCTCCTTTTCACCAAAACCTGATTTCTGGGAGCTATTGGCAGGTGCACAAATGCACCCCTCTCTGATCCAACTACTGTCCATTCTGGCTAAAATACTTTTCCTTTCTTCAAAAAACACATCTGACATACAAACACACCAGACTTAGGAATCTTGTTTCACTTTGCTTTTATTTTTTACAATATACTTACTGCATCTTTTCAATATAGCATATTTCAGATGTACAGAACTGACAGTTATAAAGCGAAACTGTATATAGCACACACCCAGGCCCTCCCACCCAAGGACTAGAATGTTATTCATTTGACCTTAACCTGCCAGTGTTTCTAACTGAAATGCAATGTTGCTTTTCTTTACCGAGTTGCTCTCTGGGTAAAAGAACAAATGGAACTACAGAAATTCAAAAGTTCCTTGCTCAGCTGCTGCCCATACCTGGCAGGTCACTCTGTGGATTTACATCACAGAAGACAGACAGTCTCCATTTATTGATCCTCCTGAGCTAAATTTTGGTTTATCACTGTTACCTTTTTTAATAGTACAGTTTTGTATGCATGCTCATACAATATATTCTTTGGTCTTGCTTATTTTTGAGCTCTATGATAATTGTATCTTACTATAAGTAGTGTCATGGAAATTGTTTTTTCCATTAACATTTTGAGATTCATTCTTATTACCAGGTATAACTACAGATCATTCACTTTCATTACAGATAGTATCACTTAGAGTAAATATACGTAATTTATGATATCCTCTACAGATGTTTCACTTTTTTTAGTTACAAACTATTGCACGTTACTATGAACATTCTTGCACATTCCTGCATATACTAAAGGGCAAGACATTGTTGAACATGACTGCGAGGTGAAAGCTAGATCACAGATCTGCAAACATTCATGTCAGCAAGTGTAACTGTTTTCTACAGGAATGGTGACTTGCACAACGTGTGCGTTTCACAGATCTTCTCTAACCCCTCCTATGATCAGGCCCGATTTTTGCAAATCTTAAGGATATACAATGGAATTAAGACTGTGGTCTTAATTCATACTTGCCGAATCAGTAATGCTAGGGACATCTTCCTATTCATTTATAAGCCCCATGCGAAATGCCTTTTTAAGTTTCTTCTATTTTTTCAAAATACAAACTATATAACTAATCTTTTGTTAGTTATTTGTATTGTGAATACGTCTTTCTCAAGTTCTGGTCTGTTTCTTCACTTATTTGCTTAATATAGCCCTTGGTTTGGTTGAATTGATTTAATCATCTTTTAGGGTTACTGCCTGTGCCTCAAGAGATTTGTTCCTGCCTTATGGAGGGTTTCATGTGAAGTTTAAAACTGCTGCTGTCTGCACTTTGCACATCTGGAATCGGCTGTTGGGCAAGAGGGGAAGCAGCACTAACTCTCCTTCTTTCCCAGATGGACAGCCACACTCTAGCACTGTACTTCTTAAGCTGGCCCTCCTATCCTCACTCGTTGGCCACACCATTCCTGCTGGGCCACCAAGGCCAACACAACATATTCATGGACTGGTTTCTAGGCTCTCATTCCACTGCTCAGAAAGTCACCTCTGCACCACATGACACTCTATGATAAAACTTGATGTACTGTAAAACAAATCCCCTAACCCTCTTCATCTTCAGAAGCATCTGGCCCTCTTAACCCTTTGCTATTCTACATAAGTTTAAATATTTGCTTATGTTTAACATAACCTTTGTTTGATTTTCCATTGGAAACAGTATTGAATCTACACTCAGTTTGGGAAGCTTTAGTATCTTTATAGTCTTTAATTGCCCATTCTCTGTGAACAAACAGTTCTTCATTTGTTCTTTTTTAAAATATTTTTTAGTTATACATGGACACAATATCTTTATTTATTTTAATGTGGTGCTGAGGCTCAAACCCAGTACCTCACACATGCAAGACAAAGTGCTCCACCACTGAGCTACAACCCCAGCCCTTATTTGTTCTTTTGATACTTCTTTAGCCTTTAAACTGTTTTTAATTAATTAATTAATTTATTTACTTACTTTTTTATTTATTTATTGTACCAGGGATTGGACCCAGGGGTACTTAACCACTGAGCCACATCATCCTTAGTCTCTTTTTATTAAGACAGGGTCTCACTAGCTTTGAACTTGTGATCCTCCTACCTTAGCCTCCTGAGCTGCTGGGATTACAGGAGTGCAACACTGTGCCCAGCTCTTTATTCTTCAAATGCTAAACCAGGACTCAATCACTGTGTTCCTGAATAAATCTACCACCATCCAACTCAAGTAGGATAAGTGCATCTTTAAGTGCAAAGTTCTGAGAAAAGATTATGGGTAAGCCTCAGGCTTGTGGCTTAGGCAGAAGCATCTCTCCCCATCAGTGAATGTGCTGGGATTAAGACGAGAGGCATCAAAGACAGGGTTTGGGACACAGGGTGAGACCCAAGTATGTCCTTGGGAAGGAGCTGAGCATCACCATGTCCATCAGCATAGGGAAGTCTGGATGGAGAGAACTGCAGCTATCGACTGGACAGCCTCCCCTCTCAGATAGCACTGCCTGAGAGGCCACTGCTGACCAACTGCTGGGGACATGAGAGTTTCAGTGGGCAGAGAGTTATGAAAAGGGCTGATAAATTATCATAAATATAGAGGGTTAACCAGAGAAGGAATGTCAAGGGGGAACCAGTGTAGAGAAATTTTTTGAAAAACTGGTCAATACTGTCTAAAACCAAAGAAGAGAAAACCTGTTGGAAAGGCCTCTGGGACTAATAATCACGAGGTCCCTAGTGGCAGGAGTAATGAGAAAGCACAGGGCAGGGGTTTGTGTATGTGTGTGCACTACACAGAGAACATGAGGAGAAGATGACTGGAAGGGGCGAGGCACCCTAGGTCTGCTGACGGCATGCCTGACTGTTCTCCATGAGTTCACTGTATGAAGGGTGGCGGCTAGCAGAATGGCTCAAAGGAGAAATAGTATTTAAGACCTGAGCTCAACCACCAGCCTCCTGCAAACCAGCCTCCTCAGTAACAGCAGAACCAGCAGCAAAATGGGGACAATTCTTTAGAGGGAAAAGTTAACATGGAGCCTTGGTGAATGTGGAGGTGCTAAGCGCGTGGTTCTCGTCAGTCCCAGATGCTGACAATGGAAGAGGTTGTGGGTTGAGTAAGCCACACAGGGAAGACCTGAGTCTAGAATATCACTAAACTCCCTGCCTTTAAAGTCCTGCTTCTCTGGCACCTGAGATAAACCCAGGAGGGTGCCTTCAGGTTGTATTTTATATTCTTAATGATCACAGTAGGTACTTGAACTTACAAAATTTTTGTCTTTAGAAACAGATTTTTCATGGGATTAAACTGATATCACATTCAAGAAAGCCACTCTATCTCAAACCAGCTGAGAGAAGATATGGCAAGTATTTAACAATCAGGAGACTCTTAGTAACTATTCAGATAAAATACATTAAGATATTTGAAGGAGGTTTCTTTTTCCCACAGAAGAATGTCCCAGAGCCTAAATAATATACCTGCTATGGAACAGGAAGTAAGTCCTCCAACTAGGTGGCTCAGGACACCAAGTGCTATTCTCAATCTGAAACAAGTTAAGCGTACCTAAAGAAAGTACACAATCACCTTCACTTCAGGGGTAAGCGATGCTGGAAATGTATGTTGCTCTGCAATAAACACATACATGCTATGGATGCTATGCAGAATTATTACCCAAGTCTTTTTATTTTCCCCCTTTCACCTCCAACAAACCTGAACATACCACTGCTTTAGGGGCATGGCCTGCTGATATGCAGTGAGATAAGGGAGGATGTTTGGCTCACAATGAGTGAGTCCCAGTGGAGCACATAACATAGGAGGCAGATTCTCTTTCCCAGTCAAATGAGGTCTGAACCCCTGATCTAGCAGGTTCAGTCCAGTCATTACCATGCACATTTCCCCATTCTTTTGCCCTCTGTTAACCTCTTGTTCTCTTTCCAGGAGCACCTGCTACATGATGAGTCTGGGGGCTACCTACAGAACTCCACAGAAGTTACCATTTATTAAGAACTTGCTGTGTGCCAGGTGTCATGTGAACTGTCCCACATGTGTCATCTCCTTTAGTCTTCATCTCATGTCAATGAGACAAAAACCACTCTTTATTCTCACTTTACAGATGAGAAAGCAGTATTGGAAAGCCTAAGTAATTTACTTATATCACACAGCAATTAAGTAGCCAAAGCTGAAATTTGAGTCCACGTATATCTGACTTTGAAGTCCATGCTCTTACCATTTCCCCTAAAATGACCCAGAACAAGTCAATAAGCTATTTCTAAACTGTATGATTTTCGAGTTGGATCAGTATAGAAAAAGAAGAATTGAATGACATCAGACTGTCCACAGTCCAACTCTGCAAAGGTCACTGCAGCTGAGCTAAGAATCTGCTCAATTCTGAAGACAACTAAAAGACATGAACCACCCTTAACTGCCACTCCTTCTCCATTTCCTTTTATCCCCCCTCAGGGAAGAGATTAGGAAATTGTGGGAGCACAAAAAAGCTTGGAGAGCGTGACTGCACTCAGCCACACCAGGGCAAACAGCTCAATATTTCTGACAGGCGAGCAGTGAGATGCCTTTGCCAAAAGGAGTTCTGCAGCCATTTAGCTGAGCCTTAGAAAATGAGGTCTTTCCAAGAGAGCAGAGATACTCCCTTTCCTGTCAGAGTCTGCTGTTGGGACCATTTAGATTAAAACACCCCATTTCTCACAGTGGCACTCTGCTCCAAGGTTACATTTCTCTATTTCTCTATTCCAACCAGGTTGCAGGCTTCTTTTCTAGGAGAATTAAGTTCCCTCCTAGATCCAAGGTAAAATGGAGAAGAAGCAGGCTGACTTGCTTTGAAATGCAAAAGACCTGTCTCCACTTGTCCAGTCCCCAGGTACTAGGGACACCATGAGAGCCATGGAACCTCACTGCTACTCATTCAAGGTACCTAAAAACAGTGATGTCTTCCAGAAATCCCCGGAAGCCCCATTCCTCCATAGCGTCTCCAGGATAGTTTCTAAAGCTAGAAGCAGGGCCGTGCTGACCAGATGCATTCAGGCCTTTGTTGTTAAAAGGCACTTTGGATTATCTTTCTTTGGGGTCAGCAAGCATACAGAAGGTTAAGAGGAGGAGGGCGGGCAGGAGGAAAAGTTAGTCTGTATCATATCCCAAGATGGGTCCAAGCCATTTCTCCACGTCAGCCACAGTCATGTTCTTCCTCACAGCATAATCTTCAACCTGCAAAAGATAGAAGCACCCAAGTAAATCCAAGTGTTAAGACTTTCTGAACTAAAGTTTCCTCAGGTTTTGTCAAAAAACATTAAGTACCTCCCATTTCTTATCTTAGTAGCAATCTACTAAGTTAAATGCAGATAGATATTTATCTGTCTACCTAGCTGCCTTCATCTCTGGGCAGAAAACAGTACTTAATAAATACCCGCTGTATGGAAGCAGGCTGTGTATGCTCCTGGTAGAGGGAGGGCTGGAATGAGGTAATGGGCTAAGATCAAATTCAGACATTAATGGGGAAAATATCGTCATTCCCTTCCCTTCCTTTATTCTCATTCACATGTAAAATAAAATAGGTTCTAGAGTTCCATTTAGAACAACAGGCATCCAAGGAAACCACACACTTACCTGATCCTTGGAAATTTTCCCCACAGCAAAATATCTGGACTGCAGATTGGAGAAGTAGAGGCCCGACACCGAAGAGGCGGGTGCCATTGCCAAAGACTCTGTCAACCTGATGCCTAGAGAGAGCAATGCAGGAAAACGCTCATTCACTGGGGGCCTCATGCGGGGTACTCAGTAGACTGGATGGCACTCAGTAGACTCGCTGAACACATAAATGAAAGTAAACTTATACCTTCTAGGTAGACACATGGCCCAGCAAGAAAGCTGTGACCAGAAGGGTCTAGCAAATTCCTACCGGACAGAAAAACAAAGTCAGAACATACAAGAGACTGGGAAGAGACTCTCTGTACTCTTCCCCTGTTACCAAAGATCAGTGCAGAGGCTGTGACCTGCTGCTAAGCCTGGGGAAGACAGAGCCATCTGACAGCTCCACATAGCTCCAGGGGCCAGGAACACGAGCAATGACTGACAGCTGGTGCCAGTGAGGAATAAGCTCACAACAGCACAAAAAAGAAGCGATACTTTCTCCTGGGGTCTGGGAACCCAAAAGGACTCCCAAGGCTATCTATTCTAAGCTACTCAGGTTATGGACATGGAAAGAGAACAACTCAAAGGTCAAGTGCCTTGCCATAGCTGGCTTGTGGAAAATAGGACCCAAATCCAGATCCCAGGACTGCTTGCATTTTGCAGTTTCTCACTTCAACCTGGATTCCTTTAGCTCTGCCAGCTTGGCAACATGCCTTTCATTATTCCCACTGAAAACTGCGAACTCTGGGGCTGGGGATGTGGCTCAAGCGGTAGCGCACTCGCCTGGCATGCGTGCGGCCTGGGTTCGATCCTCAGCACCACATACAAACAAAGATGTTGTGTCCGCTGAAAACTAAAAACAAAATAAAAATATCAAAAAATTCTCTCTTTCTCTCTCTCTCACTCTTTCTTAAAAAAAAAAAAAAAAACTGTGAACTCTGTCTCAGTCTTGTCAACCACGTGATCTGTGGTAAGGGCTAGAACCTGCATAAGGATGGGGCAATGCACAGCCACAGAACCATGGCAGATTCTACCCTGGGCCAGGGACGCTGACACTGGGTGCCCAGGGCTCCATCTCAAGAGGACATGTGCCAACTTTCCATTTTAACTATGAGAATCAAAACACAGATAAAACATGAGTGAATTATGAATACAGAAGAGCATAAATGTTCATCCCAGCATGATAGGAAAGAGGAGGGAGCTGGGAACTCTGAAAGGCTGGTGTCCAGAGATACCACCAGCAAACAATATGGGCCTGAAGCAGATAAAACCACCAACAGGACATCATCTGTGGGTTGCTAAGGAGGGATGAAAGACACTATCACACCAGCAAGAGAGACCTGGGGCAAGAGGGGAATGGGCCAGCAAGGGGTGGGAGAAGACATCTCATCCATGATGGGTCAAGAGAAAATAATTTAAATTGATCAGTCTATAAAGGTGATATAAAAAGACAATACAGTAGTATGAAAATAAAATACAATGAATAGCTAAAAGTGAGAAAGGGAGGAATAAGAGTTGATTTCATCATAACTCTTCTATTTTTAAAAAATCTCTAACCATAGATGCCATTACCCTGGTAAAAAGCGTAACTGAGTGAGGAAAGACAGGCAATCACCCTTCCACACACACACCTGTGCACTGCTCGATGTCGGCCAGTCTCCACATGGTGAGTTTCTCAGTGTGGTCAGGCTGGCTGGGGTAGCCGGGAGCTGGCCGGATCCCCTCATACCGGAGCTTGCGCAGATCTGGGACGCTTAGCTGCTCACTGCTGCAGTAGGCCCAGAATTCTCTGCGAACCCTCTCATGCAGCTCCTCTGCAAAGGCCTAGGAACCAGAGCAGAGGCACGCTCAGGCAGTGGCTGGAGCGTGTAGCATGCCAGCAACCTCCCTCCCGGTCAAAGCCACATGGAACAGCCTCCCTCGGCAGGCCCACAACCCAGGTGAAGTTGCCAAGAGGGGACAGGCTGCGTTCTTGAGACTTTATCCTTTCATTAGCTACTCTGCTGCTCTACAGCAACCTGAACCTGGACTCGGAGTGTCATGTTTAATGATCTGAGAATTCCAAGATTTTTAATACTAATATTCTCTGAAGGTCAGTCTATAGTACCACTCCCAGAAAGAGCAGCAGAGACCACACAGCTGCGTTCCTCCATGGCTCACCACAGGGAAAGGGGGCAGGCTCTCCCCACAGCCTTGGCTGCCCTATCCCATGTAACAAGATGAAGAATCTATAGAAGATACGAACATCAGAAGGGGTTCTAAAACAAACATGTTTTGTTTTGCAGCAGCAGGGGGTATCAGGGATCAAACTCAGAGGCACTAAACCTCTGAGCCCCATCCCCAGCCCTATTTTGTATTTTATTTAGAGACAGGGTCTCACTGAGGTGCTTCATGCCTCATGGTTGCTGAGGCTGGCTTTGCACACGCAATCCTCCTGCCTCAGCCTCCCCAGCCACTAGGATTACAGATGTGCGCCACCACACCTAATCTGGTTTTTAATTCTGGGGGGTTTTCAGAAAAACATCACACCACAGCAAGCAAAAGAGGCATCAGACATAAGGCAAGAGGTCAAGGTTCTAAGGCAATGGCTAACTACAGCACCACTGAAGGTTTTCCTTTGCCTGAAGGACGATACGTGAAAACTACTTAAGGATTCGTGATTTCTAAAACATGTTGTAATGTTAAAGCCAGCACAGCATATAAATCAAGGAAAAAAAGAGTGGTTTTAATAGTGGTATCTTTCTGATACTGTTGTGGTTATCTCACCCAGCTGGACTCCACTTCAGTGCCCAGTACACCACCGTTGCCTTACCTCTGCCAGCCGATCCCCCAGAGCCTTGACCATGATGCTGCTGTAGTCATCGCCCTGGTCCTCATAGGCCTTGCTCAGCTCTTCCACCCCAAAACATGCAACAGCAAACAGGCCCAGATAGTCCCGGATCCCAGAATGCAGAGGAGCGATGAAGTCCGAGAGGCACTGGTACGAGTCTGTGCTGGCAGAGTCCTTCTCAGCCTTAAAACCCAAGCAGCAGGAATAGAGGTTATTAGCATGGATCTGGCACCAGGACTGGCACAGAGGAAAGCAACTGGGGATCTTCAAATAATTAAGCTTCGTAGCACAGGGATGTTACCTATTTTGCTCACTATTAAACCTGTGGCACTTAGAACAGTACCTGACATAGTGAGTATTCAATGAATATTTGATGAATAAACAAATTGCTGTGGTTTGAGTGTATGCCTCAAAAAGTTCATGTGTGTAATTCCTCAAAGTGGCAATGTAGGGAGATGGGGCCTGGTGGGAGGTATCTGGATTCTTATAAATGTACTACTATCTTTCTTACAGGAATGGTAAACTATGGCTGGTAAACTATGGCTCAACCATCTTTTCTTGTGTGTGTGTGTGTGTGTGTGTGTGTGTGTGTGTATGTGTGTGTGTGTGTGTTGTGCCCTCTCCCCATTTCTGCCACGTTATGAAGCAGTACATGACCTTTACCAGAAGTGGCTACATAGCTTGAACTTCCCAGCCTCCAAAATATAAACAGAAATAATTTTTTTCTTAATAGATTATCAGTCTCATGTATTCTGTCATAGCAACAGAAAATGGAATAGGACACAAGTAAAATAAGATTTTAAAAACCCACTTATTTGTTCACTCACACACTGACTGCACTGTGCTAGGAACCAGAATCTTAAACAAGCATACAAAAAAAAAAAAAAAAAAAAACCCCCCCACTTCTTGTTTTGTTTTATTGCTGGACTGGACTGGAGATTGAACCCAGGGCCCTCTACACTGAGCTACATCCCCAACCCTACTTATGTTAATGCAAGGTCTTACCAAATTGCAGAGGCTAGCCTCAAACTTCCAATATTCCTACTTCAGCTTCCTGAATAATGTGCACATGCCACTGCACCCAGCTTGTCCTCAATGTATTTTTAATCCAGATCAACATTAAGTCCTGGTGCTATGTTTGCATGGGGACCACTAGATGTATAAGCTCCACAAACATCATCAGATGTGGTTCAGCAAACTATTAGGGTCAACATTATATTGGCCATGCGCTGTCTGCCACAGGGGACACTGCAGGAGACAGCTGGGTCACCCCAGGACAGTCTGAAACCAAAGAGCTCAGTTGGGTTTGCTTGTGACTCTCCTCATAGCCCAGGTGCCTATCCTTGCCCATTTTCCACTCTCACCTGATGACTGACTCTCCCAGGTATTAAGGTGACAACTAAGGTCTTATGAACATTACATAGTCAATAAATAACTGAAGAGACAAACAGGTTGCAACGAATATTAACTAACATTAACCACACGCTCGCTAGATGCCATTCTTTATATGAACTGCTAATTTAACTCTCTAAACAGCCTAGGGAAGTGACACTACTGGCTCCACCTCACAGGTAAGACATCTGAGGCTCAGAGAACTTGGTCAACCAGCCCAGGCTCAGAAGAGTCAGGGCCAGGGGCCGGGTACCAACCCTCCCTTGGTACCATCCACAGATGCTCCTGTATACGTGGTATAGCTTGTGACTGATCAATTAATCCATGAGTAGCCACTCAGAAGCTTCACAAGCTATCTGCCAGCCATGAAAGCAAGTACAGCCTGACCCTGGGCAGAAAATCAGCCAGTGCTGCAGGCAAGATGGTGACTAAACTCCTCAGCAGGGGCCGGGGTTGTGGCTCAGGAAGCCATGCTTCCTGTCCACCTGCAGACGCTTCTGCTGGTGCCCAAGAGGCCTTGCCAGGTCTATCCGTGCTGCGCCTTCTCCTGCCATCCTCACAGGTGCTGTGGGCCTGGGCCCATGGAGGATGAGGTGGAGCAGATGCTATCATTTATACAAAGCTCAGATTTAATTCACAGTAATGTTGTAGTTTAGTGACTGAACCCAAAAGTAACAGCAGTGTGTTCACTGTCCCTGCGCCCTTCGTACCTGTTGCCTCAACCCATGAAAGGTGGCTATGGGCTCCGCAGCCTGAGGCACCACACCCTCTGCATACAGATGGATGTCGTCCTGGACACTCTGCGCTGGCCAGAACCCAACCACACCCCTGGCCTGGAGCTTTCTTTGACCAATCAGTGCGTTCAGCATACTCTGGGCATCATCATATACCTTTCTGGCCTCTTCACCTATTAGAAAAATACAGAAAGAATTCACTTAAAGATGCCAACAGTAACCAGTAAGGAATGCTTGTTTTAAAAACCACTACCCCTGGGCCGGTTTCCCCTTCACCTATCCTCACTCCCCTCTAAGCCTTCTGGTATTGGCCACCAGCACAGCTGAAAGGAAGCAGCCGGGGCTGATGGTTCCCGTGAAACACAGCTCCCAGTCTGCCTCCCCCAGCTCAAGCCACTTGCATTTTTCCATTTCACAAAAAGCTGAGAGCCAAAGCTATGGCAGCCCAAAGCAGTCTATCAGAGGGCAAGAAAAGCAGGCTGAATCCCAGGCTCCCTGATATTTCTGTGCCCCCATGACTCCCCTGGTTCCACAGTGATCTTAAGGCGTGGGACAGGGTAAGGAGGGAGGAGTGGCTCCAAATGCTCCTATGTGGCCTCAGTGCTGTGCCTGCACAGGGGAGCCAGGCCCCAGAACACCCTCCCTTGGTTTCTGCATCTGTAACACTGAGGTCCCAGGCCCATGCTGGGGCTAGTCCTACAGCCCCTGCCAACCATCACCCTCCTGGCTACCTGGGAGCTGCTGAGTCTCAGCATCTTAACACATGTGCCCAGGACCTCTCCAACAAACTGGCAAAGGCTGGCTTCTCAACTCTTCCCAAAACTCACCTCATATTTCTGAGTCCACCCTCACTGAGTCTCACTCTGATCTGGCCATTTCCTAACTCTGACTGGCTCTGCATTGTGAGCCCTTGTGTCGAGGGTAGGTTTGGGGGTGAGGCTAGTTGTGAGAACTGGGGCTAAATTTATCAACTCACCCATTCTCTAGTTTATCACCCCCAATCCCTCTCTGCTCCCTAATGCTCTGGGCACAGTGGGCTCCTGGCAGTTCCCCACACAGGACACCTGTCTGAGCCTTCTCAGATCTGCCTCCTCTGCCTGGAATGCCCTTTACTTCAGTGCCACCTCACATCCCCAGGCCCAGCCTCAGTAAATCCCACTTCCAAAAAACAGTTCGAATACTGCCTCATCCAGGAAGCCTGGTCTGAGCTCCCCATCTGAGCTCTAGCTCTTCCTGGGTCTGCAGGACCCGCAGGAGTAGTGTAGCACTTCCAGTATTCTCAGCTGTCCCAGTGAGTCAGGTACTGGATGGCAGGATTAACTGTCTCCTTCTGTTTATCCCTAGTGCCCAGCACAGAGTCCAGCATGTAAAAGATGTCAATAAACATTTATCGACAGGGTGAATAAATGAAACACCAAATTTAGTCTCTGTAATAGGACTGACCACGCAATTTAAAAACCATCTGAAAGTTAAGCAGGTTAACAAAATGAAAGCAGCTACACTCTGCATAATTCAAATACATGGCTTACCAAATACTCCTGCCTTCAAAGTCATAATACTACATCTTAAATATCAGGCAGTAACACAGGACCTACTGAACTAACCTACTGTTTTGTCGTTAAATATCTTGGGAAAGCCTCGATTCGGGTACTTGCCACGGAGCTGCCAGACATCAAAGAAAGGCTTCCAGTCAATGTAGTCCACCAGCTTCTGCAGGTCATAGTCTTCAAAGACCCGGGTCCCGATAAACATGGGTTTCACTACAGGAGGGAAACACAGCGGGCAACTCTGGTTCAGGCTGAGTCCCTTGCGCGGGCACAGAGCCTAGAGGCCTGTTTCCCTGAGCCTCACTCTGCGGGCTTCCACGCTCTGCCTCCTGCCAGTCACCCGTAGGAGTTTTCATACAAAGAGGGGAACTTTAAATTACCCTGGGGAAGGAGTCATTCTGCACTAAACCTTAAATAAAACAATTCTTCCCATGCTATTTCCACCACCCTGGAAACACTGCCCTCAGCCCTCCATTCCCACCCCAGGAAAAAGGAGGATTTGTGTCAATTTCCCCTTATACAAATGAAAACAATACAAAATAAAGACCACCAGGGGTGGGGTACAGCCCACTGGTAGAGGGCTTGCCTAGTATGTGCAAGGCCCTGGGTTTCATTCCCAGGTCCACAAAGTAAATAATAAACAAAGGCCACAGAAAAACAAAGATAGTAAGCTACTTGTATATAAAGTCTGCAACGATGAAACAAGTCAGTACTGCCTGCTAACACATATGCACAAAGTATAAGGACATGTACAGAAATGAAATCCCAAATTCAGCATTGTGGTTATTTCCACAGGGGAGGAAGGGACACAGGGCACTATGTCCTATTTATACAGGACAATCTCTTCTTATAAACACCCATTATGTCAGTTTGTTTGGTAACAAGTCATACAGTCCCCTTAGGGGTTGCATGACTACTACCCCCATTCTCCTGATTACAGTGGCCTCTTTCCAGGGAGGCAGGGAAAAACTTCTGCTGCAGAGTCAGAGGACAGGCTTACTCTCGATCAACCTGGTCACCCAGAGATCAAGAGTTGCCCCAAACTCTACCACCCAGGCCCTTGAGAGGAAACTTTCCTTTCTTCCTGTAGCTCCTGAAACGCTACGCTGTCCTCACAACATTTCTGGGGTTATCTTAGGGCCCCACATTTTGGACAGCAGGTCAGAGCCCTGTAAAATGGCCACTTGGAGAGTGTCCCTATTGCTGTCAGGAACAGTGGGACCTCCAGGGACTATTTCTATCAAAGCATGTTTGGAATGCCTGACAGACCTGCCCTAGGGCTATTAGCCCCACTTCGCAGTGAGACAAAAGGCAAAATGTTACAGCAGGGACTACACAGCAATGGATCTGTTTGCTCCAAGGTTCTTACATGTCTCACATTAGCCTCACAGGACTTCCTTTCTACACCCTGGAAACTGTCAGATATGGAAGACAGACACTCAAGGTCACTCAGAGAAACAGCCAGCAGCGAGCTGGCATTGAGAACCCCCCTCCTCCCAATCTGGCATTCTTTCCACCAAACTACACTCAGCAGGAATGAAATTAGAACCAAGCACACCTACATTTCCAATTTAATCCTCTCAACTCTGCTGAGCATGTGTACAACACAGATGTCATGAGCACTGAAAGCTGATCTGAGATATTACTTGGAACTATGACTTCAACTAACACAAGCCCTGCTCACCCTGCCTGGGTTTGCATTTGTAGCTCAAGCCTCTCTAAGCCTGTCAAACACCTCATACATTCTATTCCCTTGGGAACACCTATGTGAGCAAGAAGGTAGCTAGGAAAAAAACAAAAGGAAGAAACCAAATGAAACAGAAAGAAAGGGAAGCATCCAGATAAATACAAGGTGAGCAAGAAATAGGGGCTGAAGCTTTGCTGCACTGTTTCAAGACCTGAGAGTATAAAGGAGTTTTCTATTTCAGACCTTCCCCGCCTGTCCTTGGGCCTGCTCAAGACACAGGTCAGGCTGAGGGACAACCACTCAAGCACAGCTCAGAGAAGGCACAGTCCTGCAGCTCCCTGAACACTTAAGAGACAAATCCAAACTGGAATCCTAGGAACCTTTCAATTATTCCCTGAAACTCAGTTTCTTCTTCAAAATGGAGTCCACACCCATGCTCACTACAGAGCTGTCTGAACTTCACCTCAGGACACTGTCTAGCAGACGACAGGTTTTCCTTAAATACTGCCTGTTTACTTTCTTGTCAGTCACCAGGGCCACTTGTTATTATGCACAACTGAGAGTCACTAGCTGCTGGTTTCATTCTGTAGCCACAAAATTGCAAACATCTCCTCAGCATATTGTCAGTTATCACACCCAGCTATCTCCACACAGACCTGGGTGAGGTTCCATCAACCAGTCAATATGGAAACCATTTTTTCTGGCTTGACTTAAGGGTAAGTATTTCCTCTCCTGTTGGGGGAAAAAATAAAGTTATTTAGGCTGAGACTCTTACTTCTTCCACATCTACTATAAACACATGACCAAGAAAGTACAGAATCTTTGCAAGAAAATGAATGCCATTTAGTGAAAATCCTTATCCTAAAAAGGTTCTCCTCTTCTATCCAACATGGCTTCAGACACTGGAACAGGAGCAGAAAAAACTAATAACTTTCTCTTAGCTACGGATATGTAATTATAAGGCTACCCTGCAGCCCCAACAGTCTTGCATGCCAGTGCCTTCAGAATACCTGAGGCCTATCATCAACCACCCAGGGGACCAGAAGGTAAAACCAAGGAACTGTCACTGTGGACAAACCTAAGGGGAAAGAAAAAGCCACTCACAGTGAGCCAGGCTTGCTGGCAACTCAAAAACCAATCCACGTCCTTTCTTCATGCAGTCTGTTAACTGATTCACTTCCCTAACAACTCCCAATGCCACTCCCCCAACCAAAATCCCAGAAGCAAATAACCAGGAGGAAATACCCCAAAGATTTCAAAAGAGTAATTATAGATTCCCTGACAGAGGGCAGGACAGTTACTGACACAGTTCTGCACAGTCAGGGTGAGTTCATCAGGGAAAGAGGCTCAGGAAGGTCCTGACTAACACCTCCATTTTCCTTCACTATTCCCTCACAGCAGAGCTCTATGGGTAGTGTGCAGCTCCTATTTGCTGGCAGGTATGAGCTCATATTAATTCATTCTCATAACTCTGGCATCTAGCACAGCACCGACCACCTGTGGGGGACCCAGCACATGTTTGCCTCAATAGATTAAGGTTCATTTTAATATAACCAAAAGTGCTTGGGAACTTAAGACAATAGAGAACTCTGATTTGAATTACAAAGCAGGACTTCTCTGAAAGGACCCTAACTAAGCCTTTTCCTTCCTTAAAGTAAAGGAAGATCACCACAAGATCACCTTATTGCCCAAACAAATAAAATCCTGTTTCTGTCATTTACCTTGAGATTCTCATAATGGTCCTGTCTAATATCTTCATATTCTTCCATGATTTCTTCGAAGAATTCATCTTTTAGATTTTCATCTAACAGTTGAGAACACTAAAATGCAAAATAAAGTCAGTAACCAGAGAACAGCAAACAATAAAAACTCTGGAGACACCTCCCTAAGAAAGGCTCCCCTAACAACGTTCTCTCTCTGGCCAACTGTGTTCACTCCTGCCCAGGTGTGCAGTACCAGGTGAACTCAGTGAGCTTTAGGTACAAAATCCTGTACATGCCAAAGAAAGTCCTAATCCTGGACTCCTCCCCCGTAGATAAGCTCTAAGCCCCTGGGATATCCTGCCTGATAAGAGTGTCATTGTATACCTGGGCTTTGGGCCTTGCCAGAGTTGATACCAACAATATCATTTATGGTGAGGGTTGTGGTTCAGGCTGTATCTGTTTGACCTTAGAAGGGTTGAAGACTAAGCTGCTAAGACCAGACACGTGGGCATATGTGACAAGTCAGCAAGGTCTGAGTAAGCGTCCTCATTGGCAATGCTCCTTGAAAGCTGACACACATCACTAGCGGAAGAGTTAAGTGCTGTCTGCATGACTCCCTGGGAGACAAACTGAAACTTGTGCCTGTCACCTGCAACACACCTTCTATGCCTTCTGCCTTTGCACATTTTAAGCTATATCTTTCTATGGCAACCACTGTGATCATGAGTATACAGTGTTTCTGAGACCTCCAAGTCCTTTTGGTGAATCACTGAATTTGAAGGTGATCTTAGGGATCGGGAGACAGTGGGTTCAGTACCTTCTTCAGTGCTTCAAATACACCCAGATCACCCACAGGCTTTTAATACCTGGTCACATCTACTTCCCTTATAGAAGTAGATTTCTTGAGAACCAAGAGCATGTCAACCACCTCTGCACCCCTGATGCCTCACTTACATCTGGAGCATACAAGGTATGCCCTTATGATGTGTTTAAGAATGAGGCTAACCTTCATGCTCAACTGGGAGCTTTTACTAAGATATGAAAGAAAAATGATAATCTAAGAAAATGTGAAATTACTCATTAAATTATAAAACCAAGATAAGCTAAAAATTATTTGTGATTATGACTATCAAGCTAATAGAAGACTAGCTTTCACCATAGCTCAAAATAACATTACAAAGAAAGAAGAACTGCTAATGATTATATCAGTAGAAAACGACAGCACTATCCCTCCCTCATTCTCTAGCAGGATTTTCTCACACACAAAAAGACAAGGAAGTTCAGCACCTTCATCTAAAATTACACAACTTAAGACTGGATGATGGCTGATGTGCCTCCCAGTTTAAAAGTCTGTAAATTATGGGATTCCCTAAGTATCTCTATTAACAATCCCATCACCTATGGGATAGCTAAAAAAAAAAAAAAAAATCACTTCGTTAAGAAATATAATCAGAAAAGACCATTGTGGCAGGCCTAAAAAATAGTTTCCCAAATGAAGTATTTCACTGCCTTACACAAACTCACCCCCGCAGAGTTCTCACTTAGGAAACCCAGTGAGGCAAATGAAAACAAGAGAGCGATGCACACCTCAGCTCCCCAAGTACAAGGAACCAACATCTTAACAGTGCTGCATTCTGCTAAATCATGTACCCTGAGACCCATCTCTGGATTTTTCTAACATGCAGAGCATTTATAATCCCCTGGCACAGGTGCTAGCTGGTAGCCAGAATCTACTACTACAGTTTGCTGGCACCTTCCATATTTCAGAGAACCCCCTGCTCCCAGTGGCCCTTCCTGCCGAGTATGACTTATTGACTAAAGAAACAAGCTCAGCCAGGCATAGTGGCACACCCCTAAAATAATCTTAGCGACTCAGAAATGTGGGGCAAGAGGAACACAAGTTCAAGGCCAGCCTGGGCAACTTAAAACAAAAAAGGATTAGGGATGTAAGCTCAGTAGTATAGTACCCTTGGATTCAATCCTTACTTGAAAGAAAGGAAGAAAGGAAGGGAGGGAGGGAAGGGTGATGGAGGAAGGGGGAGGCACATAAGGGAAGGAAAAAGTTCATAGCCAACGTGCTGCTAATCTAGCAATCTGAGGTCTATCAGATGTTTCATGCTAACCACTAAGACATATCACAACTTTTATTTACCTCCATTTGTTTTTTACTTTTTATGGTAATACTTGTACAATGAAAGAAAGTAAGTTGAAATTTTTAAATATAATTTAAAAAGAACTAACTTTACCCTTCTTAAAGAAAGGAAAGAAAGCAAAGGGAATCCTCAGGCCTGACTGTAATATTTGCTACATCTTTAAATCTTTCAAATGCACAAGATAGCTACTAAAGCATGGTGCTGTCCAACGTTCAACCTATCACTGGCTCCTAGAAAGAGTCACTAACAGTTATCCAAATGACCTACCATAGGACATATGTTGAGTCACCTGGAAGAGTGGTCAATTCGTTGTACATGAGGAGAGCTAAGCATAGCTGGAAACCCCAGCCCAGGGAGTGCACTGCCATGAATACAAGGCCTGCCCACTCCTTATCTCCCCTGCCTGGCTCCCAGCAAGGCCTTGTTTGAAGGAGTCTGTCCTCCAGACCTAGACTCAAGGGCCAACACCCCCCAACACACACCCACCTGCAGGGCAAGCACTGAGCATTCAAGCTGGTCCAACAGCCTTATCCCCAGATGGAAAATGTTCAGCACCATTCACAGTACTTGCAAATAGCCAACAGAGCTTAAAAATGTGAACACTGGTCATTAAACTGGATTTAATATAAACTCTGAAGAAACATGATCCGAAATTAAGACACAAACATTGTTTTTAAAATTGAGTTTTAAAACTATAGATTATTTGCACATTTTTCTATGTCAATGAAAAACTTTTTAAAAGGGCAATTTTATGATTTCAGCCTGATTTAATTTTATCCTTTTAAATAAAAAGTTGTTGAATATTTAATGAAAACAGGTTTAATTTAGGACAGTATAAGGAGGATTGCATTCAGTCAGTTCCACACCTGCCATCTGATGGGTATGTGGCCTCAAGAATTACTAATCCCTTCCTTCCCATTTTCTCTTCTCTAAAATGGATAATAAAAGTATCTCCCTTCTGAGCCCACTCTGGAGATTAAATAACCTCTGTGAAGCACTTACTTCATCACCTGGTAGTCCACAAACTTTCAATAATAGCAATTATTGTATAATTTCCATGTAAAAAAAAATTCACAGATCTGAATTTTTTCAGATTCATAGGAATTCCTTCAGAAGATGGCTCAGGAAACGTGGGCACCCTGGTCCAGGTTGCATGATACCACTGGAAGTCCTCCCAAACCACCAGGCCTCCTTGGTGGCATTTCTCCCCTGCCAAGTGTGAAGACTGGCCTACACTGGCAATTGTCAAACCCTGCTCTCCTGATGAGAAACAGGAGTGGGGTGAAGGTCAGAAGGGTTACTTGGCTCTTTTCTGTACCACACTGAGTTTCTAGGTCAAACATCACTTATTGGCAAGAATTCTACGGCTCAGAATGAACTTGGAAACTAGTCGGCCACATGGTCTCAGATGCCCTCCAACTGTTGTTTCCTATTATTCAGTAAACACAATGAAACAGGTAATAAGATGGGATCTCTTATTCACTGAAGGAGAAAAGCAGGGAAAGACACTTACACAAGCTGTTTATTATATTTGCTAAGAAAGACAATCTATTATTCTGTGATTTTAATACCTAGTCAATGTTTTTCTGTCCTTGCTTCGGTCAACTGACCCATTCTTGAGTGTTCTTCTATCTGGAAAAAGGTCATTCTTAAAATCCTACATTCTGCTTAACTCTGGCAGTGGTCAAGGCGTGTCTATTCATGTGTGTAAACTGGAAAATTCTGTCTGTCAGCGCAGCTGTATAGGTCACAGGAGTCTTGGTGCCATCCCTCTCTATCTGCTGCTCGGCTGTCTTTGAGAACACAGGACATGCTCACCAGGACCTCCTTCCAAAGCAGCAGATGCTCGAGTGGCACACCGTAAGCCCTAGACTGTTTCTTTAGCAGAACTGGGCAAAAATAAAAGGTCCTGGGCACTCCCCTGGCTCTTACTGCTTCCTTTGTCCTCTCTTTGAAACATACGTGAAATGAAAAGGAAAGCCCGACACATACCACCACCACACTCTTGGATGCATCCAGGACGTGGATCACAGGTGCGCTGTATCTTGGAGCTATTTTAACTGCTGTGTGGGTTCTGAAAAGAAGGGTCAGGAAGAAAAGCACATCCATCAGTACTGATAGTTCCTACACAACTCCTGTTCAGAACCATTAGAGATAATGTCTTTCAACAGTGTTTTCCAGAGAAAGATTTCAAGGTACTTACTTACAAATATTTAATTTCAAATTTTCCTTGTGAAACAAGAATGACTTTTTCCTATCCTAAGATGGGGAGAAATGACATGAATGAATAGGCTCAGGTTACAAAGAAGTCTGTGACCAAATGAAAAAGACCTTGTCCTCAGCTTCTGCCAACAAGGGCCGAGCCCCTGGCCTGGCTCTTCGTCAGCCTGTGTGAACCAAAAAGCAGCAGTCCCAGGCCACTGCATTTTGATGTCATCAAGGTCGAGCTACCTCCCTTTCTTCAAACGAGCCAGGCATCCAGCCAAGGTACCTGCAGAACCAGGAACCAGGCAAAGGACACAAGACACACTGCCTAGCTGCTGCCACCTCTGTGTGACCAGCATCAATACCCCATGGTCCCAGTCCCACCTGTAGTTGTAGTAAGGAACCCTACTCCCAAAATTCAACACAAAATAAACAAATGTACAAGCAACAAATTTTGTACTAAGATTGATTCAGCCCCAAATCCCTGCTGTCAAACTTGAAAATGTTGGTACTGGGAAACAACAATTAATCCTTAAAATTACCAAATTAACTAAAATGCAAAACAAATTGCTCTCTGATTGCTTGATGTTTAGCACAGGCTGCATATTTGCTGTTTCATTCTAGAATACACTAAATTCATATGAGAATTGGAAACACATGTAGCCTCCCTAGCCTCCCTACAGAGCTTGCAGAGGCTAGGAACCCATCAGATGGTGGCAGCCGCACCCTGGAGCTTCCTGCTCTTCCCTGGTACCCTGAAGCAGCACACTCACCCAAGTCAGGAGGTTTCACATTCTTTTCCTCAATTAAAGTGCATTTTTGTTTGGAATGTTGTCCAGAATATGCTATTATATGAGAAAGAAACCAACTAATAGAACACAAAATTTATGCAATTCCATTTTTAAAAAACACAAATACCACAGTCAACCTGCCCCAACCAACCAACCAGATAGCTAAGATTCTGAGTACTGAGAAAACTACAAAGGGGCACACACCAAGTGTCCACACAAGGAAAAGGTGGGAATGAAGGGGCAGGGAGAGACTGGATTTTACTTCACAGCCTCTTTAATTGTTGACATGTTCTCATGAGGGGATTACTGGAGTAATTTTTAAAGACCTGGAGAGTATTATTATATTAAAGGTGTAATAAGTATACATATTTTTATAGGCTTCTCTGGGAAGGCACTCAGCACCCATGCACAGTGAGACAGGACCAACAATCCCACACCTGTTCTTGCTTTCTAAGAACATCTCCATTTGTAAATGAGAAGCAAAAAACTAAAGCCTTAGGCCACAAGAATTGAACTATACGAACTATACGGGGGTCCCTTCCAGCACAAGCCGGCTGTTGCAACATTGCTTTTGTGCTAGGAGGCAGGGCACAGGGCAGCGGAGGCAGCCAAACCCTGGAATGAACTCCACAGCCTCCTGTGTCTTAGTCTTGTGCCTAAGGGTGCACTCAGGCAACAAAGGTTTGAAGACATCTTGAGTATTCTGCCAAGGGGAGGATTTTCAAACAGTAGAAAAAGTTATTTTTAAAAAGCTGCTCCAGTTTCAAAACAGACTACAACTGAGACTAACCTTGCTTCCTCCCCTTCAGTTGGCAAGCTCCCTGAATGCATGGAAATACTTCTCTACATTCTGCTTGACATACGTATCCTGCAAGAAAGTGTTACTTTAAGCCTGGTAACACTCAGACAGACTTTTCCTTAGAGAAAACAAGTACGACTTTTAAGTTTTAAGCATCCAAGGGTCCTCAGTCAATTTGAGCCCACTCTCTCTTTGATGAGCTTCTGGACAGAGAATAAACCCTGAATTCGACTATTAATAAATAAAAAAAAGCAAAGTGCTGCTTTCCAACATAAAAATGGCAAGGCTACATGATCGAAGGCATGACATTTGAACTTGCTTAGCCACTAAGAGTACTTCCTGTTTCCTTATAAAATAATTTGACATCAATTCCACTTTTTTTCCCCACAAGCTTCTCTACCTAGAAGAAGCCGTCCTTCTAAAGCCTGACAAGATGCAAAACACCAGAATCTCCCTGCCCCTTCTGCCCCTTCCTGCACACCAAGAGCACAGTACTAGAAGCTAAGGTGGACTCTCAAATTCTGTCTCTGCCAAATCATTCAAGACTACCAGGATCCAACAGGTCTTCTCCAATGTTTGCAAATGTTTAAAATTCAATGACAAAAATGAGAAAATAAAGACAAGGAGATTAAGATGGGATGGAGTGATATTAGCATATAAATCTATTCCATAAAATCCTAAACACACATCTAAATTCTAAGCTTCTATATGGTCAGTGCACAGAGAAAAATAAAAGCACTTATGTGTGATTTAGCACATGACTTTCTAGCAATTAAACACACATACACACACACTCGGAAAATTATCTCTACCTTAGAGCAATGTGACTTCCTCTTGAATTCTCCAAGCTACACAAACAATAATTGAAAAAGACATTTTGCAGTAATTAGCTAAAATTTTGTTAAAATGTGAAAGCTAACTGCCACAACATATACCCTTTGGAAGTCCTGCTTTTAAGAGGACCAGATTTGCAATAAGTTTTCTATTCTTTTTATAACAACAGGTTAAAAAGACTACTCCAAGTATATTTCCACTCATCTTTGACCCCAAATGAGTAACCGCCTTTCAGCCTCTGGACAGCCTTAACCCCCAGTCAAGTGTCTAGTTCTGTTCATGCTACCATAAGCCACTGGGGCTTAGAAAAGCTGTGAACTTATATCTCTTCAGAGATCTGTCCTAGTAAAAATCTGCAAGTCCTGGGGCTGGGATTGTGGCTCAGTGGTAGATCGCTCGTCTAGCAAGTGCGAGGTCCTGGGTTCGATCTCAACACCACATAAAAATAAAATAAATACAATAAAGATATTGTGTCCAGTTACAGCTAAAAAATAAATTAAAAAAAAAATCTGTAAGTCTTGAGCTATTATCTATACAACTGCAGCTAGCAAAGGCAAGAACTAACCCTGATAAGCCCTCAACAGGTCTGAGGAAGAAATAACCAGGGGTCTGCGAGAGGCTTCTGAGACATTCAGGCTCCTGAATGCTCTGTAGGCCAAGCAGCCTAAGAGAAAATGATTCTATTCAGACATCAATGGCATTAACTGTAAATGAAAATAATGAAAAATCAGATCTCATAAACATTAAAAACTTTTATGATCCAAAGACTCCACTAAAACAGCAAAAGGCAAGCAAGATTGGAAGAATCTACTTGCTGTATTTCTGATAAAGGGCTTATAGCCTAAAACAGTATGAATAAGGCAGAATATCCAACTTAAAAAAAAAAAAAAAACTTAAAGAGTATATGTTCAATATACACAGAAAGGGTGTGTTAGCATCACTAATCAGCAAAGAAATGTAAATGAAAAACATATCAAGAATTACTGCCTGGAAATAGTCAATGAAGATGGTTGTACACTGTCCTGGGATCTAGTTCTTCTCTTCTGGGCAGAAGCACACACAGATATACTAAAACTCAGTTGCAAAAATGTTACAGCAGCATTGTTTGTGAGAACTCCAAACTGGAAAAACCCAAACGTCTATGAACAGAGGCATGGATGTCTGAATCATAGTACATGATACAATGAAATGGGGGCAAAAAACCTCTAAAACTGGGTTGGGGGTTGTGGCTCAGTGGCAGAGCACTTGCTTTGCACAGGTGAGGCACTGGGTTTGATCCTCAGCACCACATAAAAATAAATGAACAAAATAAAGATATTGTGTCCATGTATAACTAAAAAAATTCCCTAAAATTATTTTAACAACAATGTTGGGCCTTCATACACAGTACTGTTCCATTTTATATAAAGTAAAAATGCAGGCAAAACCAACCTACAGGGATAGAAGGCAGAAGAGTGGTTACCTCTGTTGCAAAAGATGCCAGGATAAGTAACCCAGTGAGGCTGCTAGGTACCAATGACATTCTATTTCTTGATTTGGAGGTGGTTACATAGATGGATTCGCTTTTGCAAACACTCATCAAGTCACACACCTGTATGACTTGCATACATTCTGTGTGATTGTTACACTTTAGTAGAAGTGCTTATTCAAACAGGAGAGCTCAGTGAAGCCAGACTCCAGGTCTGTGACCTGATCCACAGTCACTATTCAGATGGGAAGATGAACTGGGAATTTTCCATGGAAGCTCAAGGATGCTACATGAGAACCTTCTTTTCAAAGGTTGCTCCAGGCCCACAATGGAGAACAGGAATGTCTCCCAGACTTTTATATTCCAAATAAAGTTCCAGAGACTTCAAAGAACATGGAAGAGAAGAAAACCAGAAAAGAGAGTTTATGGAGAAACAAGGCACTAGAAAGTTGGAAGAAACCTTGTGAGGTCATGATATCCAGCTTTCTACCTTCAAATATTGGCAGACAATTAGAATAGATAGTGAATGATTTCCCATGTCACCATTTGTGCATCAGGATATAACTGTAAAGAGCCACCAATGATTCTAATTTTGCCATCAATGATGAATCCCAAGAAGCCAGTCCTGTTGTTCTGAAGGTTTTTTCATAATAAAACAGACTATTGATCAAGTTCTAATCCATACAAGTATCAAATTCCTGATATTAAGCTTCTAAGAAGTTATTATAAAGAAATTTTAATTTTGAAACCATTGTCATATCAATATAAGTGGCAATGCCCTTTAATACATCTGCCCAATTAAGTATTTATCCCATTTTACAACTATGGTTTTAAAGGTCTTTCATCCTCATCACAGTCCAGAGATCCCCTCACTGTTCTTGTGCTCAGCTTTCATTCATTACACAAGACCAAGCTCATCAAAACCCCAGTTAGCGATGGCTGGTCATATTCTTTGACAATAATTCTGCCACTTAGTCTAGCAGATAAATCATCTGTGGCAAAACAAACCCAGTTTTCTAATGTGAACAATGACTATCAAACTATAGAATCTTTCAAATATGAAGAGTCCTTAATTGAACAAAAGACACTGTGGCTACCCATAAAAATGATCCACTCATATTATACATGGTATGATGGTTAATTTTATGTGTAAACTTGGAAGGCCATAGTATCCAGTCTCCACTCAGACCACAGTCTAAATGTTGCTGTGGACGTATTTTTTAGATATGATGAACATTTTACTCAGTAGATCCTGAGTTAAGCAAGTTACCATTCATAATGTGCATGGGTCTTATTGATTCGGTAGAAGGCTTTCATATAAAGAACTAAGGAACCTCTCTACTTTCTGCCCCTTCTCCACAAAGAAGAAATTCTGCCTTGTCTATCTTCAGACTCAAACCTGCAACATAACTCTTGCCTGGGTCTTCAGCCTGCAGATTTCAGACCTATCAACTTCCACAGTCACATGGGCCAATTCCTTGAAATACACTTCTCGCTCTTTCTAAGGATCTCTTGAATACTTATGACAGACCACAATTATATTTTTGTACCAGAAAAACAAACTGCATACATCAAGTTTAATGCTGCAGCTTGATGTAAACAGTTGTGCAACATAAGGAATGTTGCAAAAAAGTCTCCTATCCAAAATTAACACATCTCTGAATAAATCACACAATCAAGACCCCAAGAAAATACAGTCCATGCAACCAAATGTAAATTTTTCCTCTTTACATCTTTTATCCTAAAAGTTCTCCTTTCATAGATAACTCTCCAAAATACCCTTTGGTTCTTTCTAGCTAGAAGAATTTTCTAACTCTAAACCACTAGAAGATTAGAGTTTCTTCAATAATTATAAAAACTGTCTCTCTTTAAGACAGAGAGTGGGCAGAAGTTCAAGCAACAACTTTATGCCAAAAAAACACAGTTTGGGCATCCAATTTGATTTCAAGAGAGGTAACAGTTCATTACAATTCTCAGAAACTGAATGTGAAGTGAGAGAATTAAGGAAAAGATAACTGTAATCCAAAGGAACCCCAAAAAAGCAAGGGGTAGGGAGTCTCAAAGTTTCCTATTCATAATGTGCTCTAAAATTGTTCAGGCTCATCAAAGTAAAGACCAGAGAGTTTATGTAATAAGGAGTCAATGTACATGCTTCAGGGGAAAAAAACAGGTTTTAACACTGTTTATGAACACATATTTAGCAAAACTCAAGGCATAAAGCTCATTATTAGGACTTACCTAGAAGTGGTTGCTCCTCCAATCAACAATGGAATCTTTATAGCTAACCTCTCCATTTCCTTGGCAACAAAAATCATTTCATCTAGGGAAGGAGTGATGAGTCCTGACAGGCCAATTATGTCTATGATTTTTAAAAAGAAAGGGAAAAAAAGGACAATGAGGAGGATAAGAGAAAAAAAGGAAAAGTATTAAGACCCATTTTAAAAACTTTATAATACAGACCACAAGACCTAACATGAACTGCCAGTTTCTAATTCTAAGACACCTTTTCTTTCTGGGGGATTTTAATGTATTATTTGCTTTTGGTAGCAAATAAGATTTATAACTTGAAGTATTTGCCACAGTTTTAGGAAGCCATACAACAGAAGATTTTATTTACTTGGTGATTTTTCAGATTCAAACAACACAGTGTTTTATAAAAACAACTATATCCAGAAAAAAAAAAAAAAATCAAATCCAAGTGTTTGCTTTTAAGAAGCTGGTCTCCATTCCATTTCCAGAGATCAGAAGCAGCTGCCCGGTTGCTCACACACCTCTATCAACTCCCAGTGCAGATGGCCAACCCAGCAGCCCCTTGCAGAAGCTGGACTTGACAGTTTGCATGTCTCTTAGACCCCACATGGAGTGAGCTTTACTACACTGACACACAGACTCTTGGGGAAGTGACACTGAGAGTAATCCCCAAAGGACAGTTGCACAGTACCTGCTTTGTGGTCAAGAGCAGCTTTCAGTATCTTATCGCAGGGAGTCATGACTCCTAAATCAATCACTCTGAGGCACAGAAGTGAGTTGGGGGGGGCGGGGCGGGGAAAAACAGTAACAACCCATTAGAGACAAAGCTGCATGAGCATTTTCATTTCAGGCATTAACACTGTTCTAACATAAAATGGAATCACACTGAAATGATCACTAAGCACTGACAATCACCACCACAACTATACCGGGTCAGGCACTATGCTAAGTCTTTTTTATACAGCTTTCCTGAAATATAATTCCCATTTCATGGAATTGGCCCATTTAAAGCATACAATTCAGCTGGGCAAGGTAGTGCATGCCTCTAGACCCAGCTGCTCAGGAGGCTGGGGCAGGAGGATCAGTTGAGGCCACAAGTTTGAGACCAGCCTAGGTAACACAGAAGACCCCAGCTTAACCACAAAAAAATAAAAATTAACAAATTCAACAGTTTATGGCATATTATTTTTTAACCCTGGTAAGACATATGTAACTTTCCACTGGAATTGGTAAGTGCACAATTCAGGAGGATTAATTTCAGTTACAGTGTTGTTCAACTATTAACACTATTTTTCCAAAAGCATTTCATCAGCCTACATAAAAACACTGTAACCATTAAGCAATGACTCCCTCTTCCTCTCCTTACCCTCCCTGGCAGCCTCTACTCTGCTTCCTGTCTCTATGAATTTATCTAATCTGGGTATTTCCTATAAGTGGAACCACACACTACTTGTCCCACTGTGTTTGGCTTATTTCACTCAGCACTGTGTCTTCAGGGTTCATCCACATCTCATGTATATCAGAATTTTATTCTCTTTTAGGCTGAATATTATTCCATTGTATGGACATGCCACAGGTATGGTTTGGGTCTAGGATGTTCCCCAAAGGCCCATATGTTAAAGGTCCATGTTATAGGGAAGTGGTAGAAACTTCAGGAGGTGGGGATTAATGAGAGGACTTCTGGTCATTCAGAGCACACCTTAAAAGGGTAGTTGGATTCTAGCCCCTTTCTCTTTCTCTTTTTTTATTCTTTGCCTCTATCCATGAGATGAATGGCTTTGGTCCAACATCCACTTCCCATCATGATGTTCTGCTTCAGTACAGGCCCAAAAGCAACAGTATCAACCAATCATGGGCTGACACCTCCAAACCTGTGAGCCAAAATTTGTTATAGGAGCAGAAAGGTGACTCATGCACATTTTGTTTACCCACTCATCTGCTGACAGACATCTGGGTTGTTTCCACTATGCTAAGACCTTTGCAAAGTAATCTAATTTAACCCTCACAGACCCTCTATGATGAAACCCCTACTGTGGGAAAGGATCTGGTAAGTTAAGCAAGTTGTCCAGTCACACAACTGATTTAGCAAGAGAGCTGGAAGAGTTAGGATCTAAATTAGCAAAACTCATTATCTAATTCATTTAAGCCAATAGAAAATGCTGGTAAGTTCCTCAGCAAACAGCTGTTGAATAGGAAAGCCAGTGGGGAGGGGAATAGAGAAGAGGCCAGTCCCTGCACACAGAGCTGTCTTGGGAAAAGCTAGAGACTTAAGGCAAGGAAGAGAGGGGGATTCAGGAAGCAGGCCTCCTTCTTCTTCTCGGGGTGGCCGTACAAAACTTAAAGGGTGGGCACACCTGAGTGGGGGACGGACACCGGACAGAGAACGGTGGAAATATGCTGAGGGGACCGAACAGGACCAGAGGGTTTGATTTCCACAGGAGTGCCTCCTGGAATCCAGAAGGAGGAGTGTCTGCCCTAGGAAATGCCGCAGGTACTATCATCCTATTTTACACAGAGAACACCTACAATGTTAGTCTTTTTTATCATTTAATTTTATTATATTGTTAAAAACATTTAAAAATTACATTATTTTCATTTATTTAATTATATCAACAATTCTTAAAATTCAGTAGTAAAAGGTTCACATTTTTAAAAGTGTGAGTATGAATTTCTACATGATATGTCACCAGCTGGCAACGATGGGTGTTGGACACTGGGTAGGAAGGAGGCCTGCTTCTTACTGTGTACTGTTGGATTTTCAGCTTGTTCCCATAGCACTTTTTTTTTTTAATACTTTTTTTCTTTTCTTTAAATAAGTTAGCACACATGGAGCCCTCAGTAGAAACTTAAGACAGTTTCAAATCAAGAACTAACTATATTCAGCTTTGTTAGTTCTAACCTGGTAGCAAATGCCAGGGGCATGAATAATGGACAACCTTGGAGGCCACAGATAGCCAGCGGCAGAACATTTCTTTTTTAATATAGTGAAGGCAGTCTCGTAACCAGATATATTGAAATACAATGAGTAAACGCAGAATCCTGCATGTAAAACTAGGCACAAGAGTACACTGCCTCTAACTCCAGACAAAAAGGCCTGCACTTCAAAGCTGAGTTTTTCAACATTGCATGTGTTTTCAAAATCCAATTAAAACCCACCAGCATGATGCCAGCGCTACCTTGCTGTCACTGCTCACTCTTCTGTCAGGAGCATCTCACCAATCACCGTTCATTCCCTCGCCTCTACCACAACCTCCCACTCCCATCCCAACACCTTGTCTTTCTTGACTCTCCCAGGGTTCTCCTCTGGCTCAGAGCCACACCCCAGTCTGTAGCCCCTCCTATGCACATTATCGCATTATGCCACTTGGGAGACTGAAGAGAATAAAAATGAAAGAAGTCATGAAAAATGTTGATTTTATAATCTAACCTTCTTTGTAAATGCTCATAACATAGCTATAAGCATTTAATTTGAGCTTCAAATTCAAAAAAATATTTAAGCTATTCTAAATGCTTTAGCAATGTCATCCATTACTACTTAAGAACATACAGAATTTAGAAAATAAATGTTATGAGATAAAAAATCACAAAAATAAACCTACATAGCAAGATACAGAATCAACACAGGTGCCCACTGATGGATGAATATATATATAATAGAATACTATTTATATAATTTATGTAATATATATTTATAAAATAATATTTATATAACGAAATATATAAGGTAATATTATTCAGTCATAAAAAATGAACGAAATCCTGTCATTTGTGGCAAAATAGATGAAATTGGAGGACACTATATTAAGGGAAATAAGCCAGACACACAAAGATGTTCTCTCTCATATGTGTTAGCTTAAAAACTTGATGTCACAAGTATAAGAGAGTAGAATAGCTATTGGTAGAGACTAAGAAGAGCAGGGGAGGAAGGAGAGGAGGAGGCTGGATAACAGGTACCAAAACACAGCTGGGAGGAATAATTTCCGGCTCTACAGCACAGGAGGGTGACTACAATTTACAGTAACCTACTATATATTTTACAAAGAACCAGAAAAGGAGCTGAGAGGTTCCAAACATACAGAAATACTAATCACACTGATTTGATCACTGCACACTGTACACAGGTAACACACTGCATACATGCAGCACATTGCTTACATGAACTGAAATAGCACATCATATTTCATTTTTATGTACAATTATTATGTGTTTATTAAAAAGAAAAAAGTAAAAAAAAAAAAATCTGCATTTGCCCTCTTCAAAGTCACCTGACACTTGCTGTCACTTCCCCCTGCAATTCACACATTCCACCAACAGAGGGAAGTACCTGCACCAGTCTTTACCTTCCCCACTGTTTCCCACCTGCCCTTAGCAGAATCTGTGACCATTTCTAGTTTGTTAAAACAACAAAACAAATTCTTGCAAAACTCCCTTTCAAAATACAACAAATTAAAAGCATCTAAGTAATTACTGATGAGCATTTGTACAGACAAAACCACCCTATAAAACTCCATTCAGTCAGGTCTCATACAATCTCTGCTCTGAAATCTGACAGCTTATTGAGAGAAAAAAGGGAAAATGCTGACTGCCATGGGGAGCCCCATGTTCTGGCCCTCAGGGCCTATGTTATGATGCCCATTCACAAGAAGCCTCTTGGCTATGTCCACCTGCCCAAATAGCTTTTCCTATTCTTTTTGTCCTCACTGAATGCATAATAGATAACTACTAATTTATTGCATTTGAAAAACTGTGTTCACCGTGGACAATTTGAAAACAGAGTAGACAAAAAATAAATAAATGAAAAAATAAACCTCTAACATCTACTACTGCTCCTTACCCTCCTCCCTCAATAATTACCCTGTTGAAACACTTCCCTTCTTGAAGGGATGAAGAGGTGAGGTCTAAGCTTACCTGAAATTATTGCAGCCAAGGACCACTCCAACTATGTTCTTGCCTATGTCATGCACATCACCTTTCACAGTGGCTAGCACAATGGTGCCTTGATAAGGGTCCTGAAAGCAAGCAATACAGTGAGCATGACTGGAGTTCCCCAGAGCAGACCACGTAATTCTCGAGAGCTAGGCAGGTGCCAACCCAGAAAGGGATTAATACAATTACCTCAAATACGAGCCTGAGACCCAAATACTGCACTAGGCAAGCAGAGCGCTGTAAGCTCAAGCAGTTCAAATGAGCCCATCTGGAGGGTCAGCACAAGGGCTTCAACCAAGATTGTGTACTCTCAAGAACAGCTCAAGTTCAAACAGAACAATCTCACAGCTAAAGACCACATCCTTCACCCCAAAACTATCTGACAAATGTTTACTGTCAACATTTAGAGGGGGGGTAGAAAAGAGAAGATGTTCATTGCAATGCCCCCCCAGAATCTGAAAATAACCACACTGGCCCAGTGCAGAGGGTGTTAGGGGTAACTTTCTGCTTCTTCCACATAGTCGTTATGTACGCTGCCAGCACATCGCATACTCTCCAAGGGAAAAAACAAGGAATGGTAAGCAAGGCAATGGGCGTTTTTATAAACACCATGTCTGTCTGAGCTGCATCAACTGAAGAATTAAAAATCCCAAGAGCCAAAGCTGCCTGAGCTTCACTGGGAACCAAACAAAGTTAAAAGGCTTAATGATTTACTCTGGTGGTGCAATCAGCAAAAATTAAAATGAATTCAGTAGTGGTATCAAGGACACTATTAGTAGAGAGAGAATATTTGTTTGTTCAAAAAAAATCATCCAAACCAACCATTAGCCCACTACCTAAAAAACAAGAGTAGGTCTTCGTAGATGCAGTGTCAGCATAAAACTTGGTACAAAGTAAATATCAGTTAACGAAGGATTGTCTTGATTGAAAAATTACATCTGTATTAAAAATTTCATAAAGCTACATTAAAAGGAAAACCCTAAGTTATCTTGAAGCTTGGTAAAAAAGAGGGACAGATGTTAGATCATTTCTCTACTTTATCTTCAGTGATAAACAGCAAGCTAGCCTAACTGCCTAATCCCCTACCCCACCCCAACAGAAGTCTCCCAGGCCCACTCCTTAAAGGGCCCACAGGCCTGAAAAAAACAACTTGCCTCTTCTTCTACTGTACAATTAAGCACTCTGTTTTCTTCTCTTTCTTTTTCCATAAAGGGGATAAGGTGGCCAACAGCCTTCTTCATGACCCGAGCTGACTTTATAACCTGGGAAAAAGCAGAGCTGGTTATCTGACTGACTACTGCAACGACAGCCATTGCAAACCACATGGCTTCTGATGGCACCTGTGAAACCCCAGCACAAGCTCAGAACACACACTTTAACCTCAGGCTAGCTACACTGGACTCTGCTTCTGACAGTGAGCAGAATGAGAAATAAGCTCCCTGAGGGAAAAGCCAGTGAAGGAGGCAGAGCAGGAGGAAAACAAGGCTAGAAACCAAACACTGAAACTTCCATCTTCTTGAACTTCTGCCTGTTAGCTTTTCTCTGGCTAGAAGGCCTCTGTTGCTTATCTTTCAGGGTTAAAGTTCCCCCGCCATGTACTCATTCTCAGCCTTCTCTTCTCCACACTCAACTCCCTTAAAATTGAGCCTCAAACAAGACAAGTCCCTTTCCGTCCTTCATCGCCTCAGGCTCCTAACCTAGATGGACAGCAAGTGTTTATTAACTCATGAGCTAGCAGCTGCTGCAATTCAAAATAAAGAATGGTGTTCTTACTTGAAATCTATCATTTAACATAACTATTTAAAACAGTAATATTTTTTCAAAGTATGCATTATTTAAGATGAACACTTGCTGGTCAAATCAAATCTATCTTGAGTCTTACTTTACTTCTGAGAGTAAAAGTGGGTACAGAAAATCAGAACAAAGACTATGAAGCTAGCAATTTCCAGATGATTTCTAGCTTCCATACCACTCTAAAGACAGGTTTCTCAAAACACATCTGGGCAAGGACTGGTCCAAATCAAAACTTGAACAGAGTAACCAAACTCACTATTCACTAAGACAAGGAAGAGATTCAACTGTGAACATGTCTCCCTATTTTTGCCAACCTGAGGTAGAAACATTTTTCCAGCTCCAAAAAGATCACCAACAACTTTCATGCCATTCATCAGGGGTCCTTCGATAATATTCAGAGGTCGGGGATATTTTTCCTGGTTTAACCTGGCTTCCTCAGTATCCTGGATAATATATTTTTCAATGCCCTTCAGAAAAAAAAAAAAAAAGGTTGGGGAGAGAATAAAGGGAAAAAATGGGTTAAGTCCAAACAACCAACAGAAAATGAATCATAGACATGCTTAAGAGTGAGAGTTCTGAAATCAAACTGTGTAAGTTCAGATCCTGGCTCCCAGCACCCACTCAGGCCATTTATTAAGCTTCAGTTTCCTAAGAGTGCCACAATATCCTGTTCATATGTTTTGAGAATTATTACATTAAATAACCCATGTTAAGTGCTTAGCTGGCTTTCTTGATACAAAATGTGCTATTAATGAGAAGGTGGGCTAATAAGTAGATTTATAACTCAGATGTTTGTATTCTTATATTTTAACAGATTATACTTTAATAATATCTCTGCCAAATCAGTGTTTTCTCACTACTTGGCTGGAAGATGAATGAGGGTGAGTGAGATTCTCAGGTGAAGTTCAAAAAGAGGAGGCTCCCCAATCTAGGCTTGAACAAGCCCTCCTCCAGGGTCTCCAACTCACAGATCTTGGATGTGGCTGAACTAGTTCCACAAACTAAAATATGTGAATCACAAAAGGCAAGAGTTGAATTTTAGTCGCCCCCCCCACCGGCCTCCAAAAATAGAACTCTGAAATTCTCCAGACTCACAAATGGGAAAACTGAAGCCAAGAGATTATTTATCTCACCAAAATCCCAAACATCCACAGAAGAATCAGTACTGACTTATTGGACATACTAAAAACAACCTGGTCAGGGTAGGGTTCTCAACCTCAGTACTACTGACCTTGGGCTGGAATAGTCTTTGTTGTGGAGGGCTGTGGTGTGTACCACAGGACACTGAGCAGCATCCCTGATCACTGGATTCCAGTGACATCTCGCACCCCCACCCTGACAACCACACATACCTTTAGACAGTGCCAAATGTGCTATCATATAATGCAGAGCAGGAGGGCCACCCAGGTTGAGAATCGGCAACCAGGAGTCCATGGCCTCTCTTGCTCCAGCTGCTGTCGCCACCAACCCTCCCACAATGGCATCAGACAGCAGTGACAAGCTATCAGCTGGCCAGTGCAGGTTCCCGAACTCACCTTCACAAGAGCATACTCAAGCCGTTCTTCAATGGGACTGTTCCTCCACTCATCAGTCTGAATGACCTTCTTCCCTCCTTTGCCATGAGTCTGAAATGAATTGAAATTTGGACGAAAAAATAGATGCAGGAGGCCACTTATTTGAACCATTTGGCAGCAACTAATAAACTGTCTTACTCTTTTACATTCCCAGCTCCCAGCAGAGTGCCCAGCATGCATTATGACACTGACCAACCATAGTACCAAGTCTGGTGAGAAGCACATGCAGCTCTTCCTCCTCTTTCAATTTTCACCTGAATTCTCATTCCCTGTGGCAAGCTTCCCTAACCACCTCCATCTTTGGGGTCCATGCCACCTCAACATCCTCATAGCACTCTGTGCCTCCCCTACGACAGCACCTACCACACTGGATTAAGATCACCTCTGTACATTTTCTGCAGGTCTCAGTGAACATCAGCTGAATGCATTAATGCTGAACAAAAACTGATGTTGCTAGAGCAATGCTTGTGTAGGATAGTAGAGGCAAAGTCACAGAAGGCCAGAAATTCATGCTTGGAGTTTGGACTTAACCTCCAGGGCAACTGTGTGGTGGGACAGGAGATACTTATCACAGCTCTGCAGCTGCAGGGTCATATTCAAAATAGTGTTTTTAAGGGAAACTCAGAAGGGGCCTAGCCTGAGTCTGATAACAGGAAAGGCCAATAAAAACAAACATGAAGATATCAAGTTACCAGTACAAATAAAAGAAGGAAAGATCTAGGGAGAAAACCAAGATATAGGACCAGAGTGGTAACTGGAATAACAACAATAGGAGTCTTTCATGGAGAAAAATCTAAAGAATAATTAAAAAAGAAAAAGTACTTCTTAAGCTCAAATTCCCCTCACTGGTACATGAAAAGACTATTTGTTTTACCAGCCATACAACCAGACAATTCCTGCCTAAGGGATGGAATTGCTGGGTTAAGACAAAGCAGTCTATTCCAAATACTTTGGGTGCTGGGAATATGAGTGATTTTATTCTCTCCTTTTGCTTACCTGTATTTTGTAAATTTTCTAGAAGTAATATCTGTCACTTGCTATAAGAAAAATATATTTCACACTTCAAAATAAATACTTAGAAATTTAAGTTCCAGTGCACACCTGTAATCCTAGCAACACGGGAGGCTGAAGTAGGAAAATCAGGGGTTCAAAGCCAGCCTCAGCAGTTTAGCAAAGCCCTACACAACTTAGCCAGACCCTGTCTCAAAATAAAAAATATAAAGTGCTGCTGGGGATGTGGCTCAGTAGTTGAGTGCCCCTGGTTTCAATCCCCAGTACCAAAAAAAGAAATTTAGGTTCAGAATGCTGAAGCAGCCTAGGAACGGTCCATTTCTCTTTCCTTACCCTAACTACAATACCTTCTCTAGAATGTTCATTGATCCGAAGACATGATTAGGTATGTGCTTCTATTCTACAATGAAGGTCCAATAATTGTGAGTAATAAATTCAAAGAAAGAAAAAAGCCATATTAGACACTTTTCTCTCTACCTGGGCAAAATGTAAGAGCTTCTCAGTGGCTTCAGGGTCTTTATTCCAGATGAGATCTTCACAGAGCTGAAGAAGTTCCTTGTGGATATCATCATATACTGGGAGGTTTCCTGCATTCACTATCCCCATATCCATACCAAACTAAAGGCAATAAAAAGAAAAGTGAGGATTTCCAGTGATGCCCTAAATTAGGAACCAGAAAGAAAACATTTTAGGCCATAGTCTCAGTCACAAATACTTGACTCTGCATTGGTTCCCAAAAGCAGCCTTAGATAAAATACAAGTGAATGCTGCATTTAGGGGGTACCCTAAACAAACCTCCTTTACAGAAACTGATCACAGGCCAGTTAGTCTGAGGGCCACAGTGGACAAACCTTGCCCTAGTGAAACCTGGTTTCAGGGGTACGCAGGCCTTTAATCATACCTTGATTGCATGGTAAAGGAAAACCCCATGCATTGCTTCTCGGATGGCGTCCATTCCTCGGAAGGAGAAGGACAAGTTGGAAAGACCTCCACTTATTCTGACTCCTGGTAAAGTTTCCTGGCAAAAATTTTAAAATGTGAAAACAGTGTCTATTTTGCCCAAAGCAGCAATCACAGTTCTTAAGCTTTATATACGAGTGGAAAATAAACAACGTGAACTCCAAAGTAACACAGAGCTTGCTGTAATCAGACACAGGCCCAAGTTTGCTGTATTATGGTGCTGTAAAGGCACAGCTTCATCAGTGTCCCCCATTAGACTTTAGTCTCCCTAAGGGAAAATATAAAATTCTATTTTATCTCTGTGTACTTCAGTAATGACCCTGATAGGGTATAATATATAATGAGTATTCCATAAAATACTTGCTGGATAAATGATAGAGAAGAAAGTGGTGGAGAGAGAGTATGTTTGTGTGCAAGCAAGCAAGCAAGCAAGCAAGCACACACACACACACACTCAGTTCCCCATTCACTGAAAGCACAAACTACCTGAAGGTATTTGTAACTAAATGAACAAACGCTGTTGTTCATTATAAACTTGACCAATTATAAAAGGACAAAAGGCAACTGAGGTTCCTGCTGCATCTATGACAATATCAAGCATCATCAGGCATGTGCAACAACAGGATCTCTGATTTATTGTTGGCTCAAGGACAAACTGGCTCAAGCACCGAGGAAGACGGCTTACTATTATCTAGTACTATGACCCAACCACTCGGCTTCTGGGGTATATGCTAAAGAAACTTGGGCATGTGTGCCCAATATATGTATAGAAGAATGTTCACAGCAGCATTGCTCATGAGGCCCAGAAGCTGGAAACAAACCAGTTCTCCCTCTATGGTAGAATAGTTAATTATGGCATAATGACACAATGGAATATTATACATTAATTGAATGAACAAATGACAGTTACAGCAATGCAGATGAAACTTTTTTTTTTTTTAGTTGTAGATGGACACAATAACTTTATTTTATTGATTTATTTTTATGTGGTGATGAGGATCGAATCCAGTGCTAGGCAAGCACTCTACCACTGAACCACAACCCCAGCCCCTCCATGAATCTTTAAAATAAGTTTGAATAAAGAAAAAAGTCATAAATATCTTATGATTCCCTTCAAGCTAAAAAACAGGCAAAATTAAACTATATTGTTTAGATATTCAGTTGGTTCTCATAGTTCTGTTCTATAAAGTCACTGTAAACTCTGAAATAGGACTTGTTGTTGTTTGACTTCATAATGGCTGCCAGTCTTACTGGAGTGAGATGGTATCTTAGGGTGGTTTTGATTTGCATTTCTCTGACCGCTAGAGATGGTGAGCATTTTTTCATGTACTTGTTGATTGATTGTATGTCCTCCTCTGAGAAGTGTCTGTTCAGGTCCTCAGCCCATTTGTTGATTGGGTTATTTGTTTTCTTATTGTTTAATTTTTTGAGTTCTTTGTATACTCTGGATATTAGGGCTCTATCTGAAGTGTGAGGAGTAAAAATTTGTTCCCAGGATGTAGGCTCCCTATTTACCTCTCTTATTGTTTCTCTTGCTGAGAAAAAACTTTTTAGTTTGAGTAAGTCCCATTTGTTAGACAAGTGCTGGCGAGGATGTGGGGGAAAGGGTACACTTGTACATTGCTGGTGGGACTGCAAATTGGTGAGGCCAATTTGGAAAGCAGTATGGAGATTCCTTGGAAAGCTGGGAATGTTACCACCATTTGACCCAGCTATTCCCCTTCTCGGACTATTCCCTAAAGACCTTAAAAGAGCGTATTATAGGGATACTGCTACATCGATGTTCATAGCAGCACAATTCACAATAGCTAGACTGTGGAACCAACCTAGATGCCCTTCAATAGATGAATGGATAAAAAAAAGGTGGCATTTATACACAAAGGAGTATTACTTTGCACTAAAAAATGACAAAATCATGGAATTTGCAGGGAAATGGATGGCATTAGAGCAGATTATGCTAAGTGAAGCTAGCCAATCCCTAAAAAACAAATGCCAAATGTCTTCTTTGATATAAGGAGAACAACTAAGAACAGAGCAGGGAGGAAGAGCATGAGAAGAAGATTAACATGAAACAGGGACGAGAGGTGGGAGGGAAAGGGAGAGAGAAGGGAAACTGCATGGAAATGAAAGGAGACCGTCATTGTTATACAAAATTACATATAACAGGAAGTGAGGGGAAAGGGAAAAAAAAAACAAGGGGAAGAAATGAATTACAGTAGATGGGGTAGAGAGAGAAGATGGGAGGGGAGGGGAGGGGAGAGGAGGGGAGGGGAGGGGAGGGGGGATAGTAGAGGATAGGAAAGGCAACAGACACTAGTATGGCAGTATGTAAAAAAGTGGATGTGTAACCAATGTGATTCTGCAATCTGTATACGGGGTAAAAATGGGAGTTCATAACCCACTTGAATCAAATGTATGAAATATGATATGTCAAGAACTATGTAACGTTTTGAATAATAAAAGTTAAAAAAAAAAAACTTTGAAATAGGGAATACTGACGCCCTGCTCCAAGAGAAATACCATCAATGCTGGGCACATCATAGCCTTCCTGCATTCATGAATGCTAGCCACGCCAACATATGCCTTAAGGCCATCTTAAAAAGCAAAACCACCATCCAGACACAGTGGCACACACCTGTGATCCCAGCAACTCAAGAGGCCAAGGCAAAGGATCACTGGTTTGAAGCTAGTCTCAGTAACTTAGCAAGACCCTGTATCAAAATGAAAGAATAAAAGGGGCTGAAAATGTAAGTCATGTAGTAGAATACCCTGGATTCACTCCAAGTGCCATCAAAACAAAGGTTAGAAAAAAAAACCCTAAATAACATGGCTAAATCAGGATGATGACTATGACATGAAATTCAGAATGAGGTATACCCAGAAAAGGAGAAACATACAAGCATCAGTGTGTTACACTGTGAAACTATGAGGTGTGTCCCACTTCATAATTTAAACAGCATTACAAAAAAATTTTAAAGTCTCTAACTTGAGGAAAAACAATTTACTACACAATGAGAATGTCAACATCCCCATCCAAAAATATGTGATAGCTCTAACCATTCACTAGACCCCTGTGATAAATTTGAGATGTCTTGGACCGAAAAGAGAAAATGACCCTTACTTACTTTAATGACTCTAGTTGCATGGATAAAATTCACAGCATACAAGTTGTGTTCTTCCATTCCAGTACCAATGGTAAGGATGTTGGGGTCAAAGATGATGTCATTTGGATTAAAGCCCAGTTTTCTCACAAGTAAATGGTAGGCTCGAGTGCATATACTGATTTTGACATCTGTTTCTGTCGCCTGGGGAAAGGAGAATATATGAAATATAAAAAATAAAAACAAAGTGTCATCCATGAAAAAAGTACATTTCACTTGTTGAAAGCACTCAAGTGTCAACATATGGATTTCACAGAAATACAAATGCCAAGTGGCCTCTAAATATTTACCAAATTATTTCATATTTCAGTGGGGGAATCTGTTTGAAAAAAAAAAATATATATATACACATATATATTTAATTTGAAATGGGTCTTGCTAAGTTGTCCCAGCTGAACTTGAACTTAGTGTTCTCTTGCCTCAGTCTCCAGGGTGGCTCAGAATGAAGGAATGCACCACTGTGCCTGGTTCCCTTTGTATTTTTATCAACATGACAGGTAAGATTTTTTTCTGCAAAAATCAAATTTTATATGCATATAAATGGCATATTTACTAAAGAGGCTTCTTAAAAACACACATGATAAAAATGCAAACACTACTAAAAGACAGACTAAAAATAAGTGTCCCTCCTTCTTCTGACCTCTCTGCAAGTCCTTTCACCCCAGCAGCACTGCCATGGCTTTCCTGAATTTTCCACCTTAACAGTATATGCTGATCTGAGGAAGCATGTTTATTCCCCATCCCCCACTACAGCACTGACTTGTTAGCATGTGCCTCAGCTTACAGATATGAATGAGGACCACCCATCACAGAAGTCCCTAGGACTCCAGCAAGGCTCACTCCCCACGGCTTCCCTTCCCCTTACCAGCTTCCCTTCCCCTTGCTGTCAGGCTCTGCCTCCAGCCAAAGCTCATCATGCCCCTCCTCCACTACACTCTCTCACCCTGCTCCTCCCATAGGCCTAACCCCTCCAACCCGGTGCTCCTGAGCCCTGGCATGTACTGCTGCCACTGCTCCAGATACCCCAGACATGGTTTTGTGCTTCAACATCTCTCAGGAATCTGATTAAAGGCTCCTTTCAGAAGTTGCTTTAATCACCCTCCATAAACCAGCCCCACCATCCCTCCTTCCTCCTCCTTTCTTCAGAGCAGGTCTTTTCAGAATCTGTACTAATTTGGTAACTTTTTTGTTATTTTTGGTTAATACTTATTATTAAATTGCCAGCCTGTCTCCTGACAGCTAGAATGTCAGTCTGCTGTATCCCCAGTACCCAGAGCAGTACCTGTCAGAGGATCAGTATCACTTGTTGAATGAATATATGAGGGAATGAATGCTGCTTTTACTCAAAGCATGTCTGAACTTTGTCATAGAAGCTGTCTTTGGGTCAAACTTGCAACTTCAACACTCAGCACACTCACCAAATTATGTCTTGAATTTCTGGCTACATGAAAAATGAAATATGCTCTGAGAAAAAAAAAATATATACATATAGGAATCTACCTTACCCGCAGTTTCACTCTCCACTATTTCAGTTACCTGTGGTCCACTATGGTCCAAAAATATTAAGTAGAAAACTCCAGAAACAATTTTTTTCTTTTGTGTAGTTGTAGATGGACAGAATGCCTTTATTTTATTTTTATGTGGTGCTAGGATCGAACCCAGTGCCTCATGCATGCTAGGCAAGCACTCTACCACTAAGCCACAGCCACAGCCCAGATCTTAAGTTTTAAAATCGCATTCCACCCTGAGTAGGTTGATGAAATCTTGAACCAACCTACAACTGTCCTGCTCCACCCGCCCTAGGACATGAATCTTATCTGTCAGCATATACTTGCAGTACACATTATCTGTTCCTTGGCCCTATGTAGAAGCTAGGTCGATTATCAGACCTACTATAGCAGGATCACAGTGCTTATGTTCAAGTAACTCTTATTTTACTTGCTAATGGTCACAAAGCATGAGGGAACAAATTGCTGGCAATTTGGAAATGCCAAAGGGAAGCCTTAAAATGCTTCCTTAGAACAAAATCTTTACCAAATGCACCTCCGATAAAGCATCCTCCCAGAAAGCATTAATCTCTAGGATAAAGAACTCAAGAAACTTAACATCAAAAAAAAAAAAAAAAAAAAATCAATATAGTCCTTACCTGAACAGACACTTCACATAAGAAGAAATACAATTGATCAACAAATATATGAAAAAGTGTTCAACATCTCTAGCAATTAGAGAGATGCAAATCAAAACTATTGTAAGATTTCATCTCACTCCTGTCAGAATGGCAATCATCAAGAATACAGGCATCAGTAAATGTTGGCGAGGATGTGGAGAAAAGGTACACTCATACATTGCTGGTGGGACTGCAAATTGGTGCGACCGCTATCGATGCAATTTTTCAGACAAACGATCTAATGAAGTGCACTCAAAATATTAAATTTATACACACCCTTTGGCTCACTTCTATGAACTGATCCTAAGAAAATCATTTTCTACAAGTGAAAGTGCTGCATAAATTAGGATATTCACTGGCCATTGTTCACACTACTAAAAAATTAGTTCAATAGACTAATTAAGGCATATACTGAAATATAATGCAACCATGGAATTATAATCCATACTTACTAAAATGGGAAGATGTTCACATTCTGTCAAGTTGGGGAATGAGATGCCGAATGGCAGAGGCAATCTTGTTTATATCTACTTTTCCATTTGCCAGAACCTCTTCTACTCATTCCCCCATGGCCTCCTGGACTTCTCCCTCATTTTATTTGGGTTTTCAAACATTTCCTCCACAGAGGAACCTTAGGAGACCACCAGCCTCAGCAACTTCGAGAGGTGCTAAGCAACTCAGTGAGACCCTGTCTCTAAATAAAATACAAAATAGGGCTGGGGAAGTCGCTCAGTGGTTGAGTGCCCACTGCCTCCCCAGTACCAAAAAAAAAAAAAAAAAAATTATTTTTCATCTTTTGTACAAGAAGAGTTAACAACACTTCTGTTAAAAATGATTTTATTACAAAAATTTTAAAAAGGCAGAAAGAAAAAGTACACCATTTATTAACTGCTAATGTGTTCCCATATAAAACTATGCCTACCCCAAAGCTATCATCGGGTTATTTATTTATTTATTTATTTAGAGAATTTTTTTTTAATATTTATTTTTCAGTTTTCAATGGATACAACATCTTTATTTTATTTTTATGTGGTGCTGAGGATCAAACCCAGGGCCCTGCAATGCCAGGCAAGCGCATTACCGCTTGAGCCACATCCCCAGCCCAGATTATTTATTTTCTGTTCATACTATTTATTAAATAAAATTGGGATCATCTCCCTCCCCCCACCCCCGCCCATGGTTCTGTCAACTCATTCTTTTTAAATGCTGCAAAATTTAAGCATTCGCCTAGTAATGGTTATTTAGAGTGTTCTCAGTTTTTGGCTATCATAATGCTAAAATGAATGTGAACACATAGCCTTACATACTGAACTTATTACAAGATTTCCAAGACAGGATTAATCGAAAGGGATGGATTTTTCAATTTCTTTAGTTACTGAACAGATACCAACATGCTTATGAAAGTTATGTGAGGTATAAAACATAACAATGTAATGATCACCCAGTGAAACCACAGTTGTATTTGAAGCTTCCCATATGCCCCACCCTGATTCCATGGCAGGGATATTTTATGAGAGTTATCATTTATCAATCCTATTGTTTTTATTTTGATAAAGAAAATGAACATTATTACTTTTTAAAAAACAGTATCAGTATCTTACTGGCTATTTGTACTCCTTTTCCTATAAATTGCTTGTTTTTTTTGTCCATTCTACGAACTTCCCAGTCAACCTAGTTTTGATGTCTGATCTATAGAAATTCTTTGCATATTAGTGACATCAGCCCATACTATTACTCATGTCACAAATAGTACCATGTCTTTGCCATATAATAAAGTTTTATATTTTTATGTAAATATTTTTCCTTTCTGGCCTTTTGAGTTAATGGTATTTTCTGCAACACTAGTTACAATTTTCCTATATGTTCTTTAGAACTTTTTACATTTAAATATTTTATCAGTGTAGACTTTAGTGTATGGTGGGGATGGGGCTAGTGCTGAGGTGGTGGGACCTTCATGAATGGTGAGATCATAAGAATTATTCACAAATGGATTAATGTTCTTTATAGGAATGGGTTCCTTACAGTGAGAGTGGGTCTGTTATAAAGATAAATTCCACTCTCTTGCTCTCTCTCACCCTCTCTGACCTTCTGCTAGGGGATGACGCAGCAAGAAGACCCTTACCAGATGTAGTCCCAAAATCTTAGACTTCTTGCATCCAGAACCATAAGCCAAATAAACTTCTATTGTTTATAAATTATCAAGTCTGTGATAGTATGTTAGAGCAGCACAAAATGTATTAAAACAGGACTCTGACTTTATTTTCTTCCAAATGCATAACCAGTTGTCCCAGTAGTGTTTACTGAATAATTCAACCTTTCTCCACTGATGTAATGACTTTGTTCTATACCAAACCTTCACATATATAAATGTATGCATGCATCTGTGTGTGGATATAGACATATGTATTGTGTACATGCATGTGCATAAAGCTACTTCAGAATTCATTTTCTCCCACTGCTATCTAACCTGGATGACACAGTACAGCTAGGTAGACAGAAATCTCTCACCTGTCCTTCTTCATCGAAAGCCATAATCACCACAGCAGCTCCAAACTTCTTAATCTTCCTGGCCTTCTCCAAGAAGTCCTCCTCTCCCTCCTTCAGACTAATGCTGTTGACGATGCACTTCCCCTGGCAGCACTTTAACCCAGCTTCAATCACAGCAAAATTGGAAGAGTCAATGCACAAGGGCACCTAAGAGAAAGGCAAAAAAAAAAATCATAATGTATGGAAAAGACAGACAGGATTTTAGTACTTGTTCTTAAAGCCCAACATTCTTGGAGTAATTTCAACATACAAGAGACTACATGCATGAGCCAGGACTTTACAATTCAAAGACCAGAATGGAATCAGTAAGATCATTTTCCTGGTTTCAGCCCTAGTTCACACTTTCAAGTGCCTTAACCCTGAGGCAAATACCTCAAGTGAGATTCAGACATCCCTGGTTGAACTGAGGGATTAAGGTTTAGTCTTATGCCCTTTGGAAACAGCCCTGTAGCCAAGTTATTCTATTTCAGTTTTCCCTTTAGATAATCAAGTTCCTCAGTGAGGAGAAAATGAGTTTTAACATTAGAAAGTAAAAGTAGATCCAATACTCAACAAATGCATTTAACTAAAATAAAGGACAATAGTGAAATGTACAGAGAACAGGTTTCTTTCTCATTAGTGCCTCTGTATCAAGGAAAGGAAGGATTTAAAGGAAGGATTCAATGGGTATAAATAAATGAATCATGGAGGCTGATCTAGGCCCCATTGTTTAATTAAGGCATTCAATAAATAACTTAAGTGACTACTATGTCAGACCTCACACAATGTTAAGACACACAGGTCCCTAGCTTCACCAAGGCTATAAAGATAAATGATTAAATAGTAATTTCTTAAGAGCAGTAAATGCTACAACAAAATAGAAGCACAAAGTACTTTGAAAGGGTATTTCAAGGGCACAAATCTGCCTGAGGCAGTAAGGAATGAAGAGGGAGAATTCAAGGTACATGTTTCGATAGAGTTGTAAGAAATTCCCTAAATCACACCTCCAAAGACAACAAGAAAAAAACAAGCACTCTGCCAATTTTCTCTTTCTTAGCATGCAAGTAATGTGGAGTTTTCTAGAAAAAGGGTCAAATGCAATGAAATACCAGACCAATGTTTTAAGAAATTCAGTGACAGCATAGTGTCCCGACCCTACTGGTGAAAACACGCTACTAGAGCATTTTTATGCTATACTATAACTGACCAAAACTTGGCCTCCAATAAATTTTAGTAATAGGTCAAAAACAAGAAAAAAGAAAAATTACTATAATGATTGGAGCACTAAGTAACAGTCTCTTAAGTCATGAGAGTCCTTCACAGCTGACAAGACACTGTCATCATTATAATTCACAGAACAGCCAGAGCAGACGAGACAGCCCACTTATGGAAACCAGGGCCAACCACAGCTCATAGGGTGCCTGAACCCTGAGGGCATCCAGCTTTCCTGCCACTAGCAAGCAGATAAACCACTGGCTCCACCTGAGTCTGACTGACTTTCAACAGGCCCCTGAGTTTCTTTGCTCCTTAAATTCTCAAAAGGTCTATTAAACCCAGAAAAGTGGCAAAACTTTTTAGTAAGGGTTTTTTTTTTTTGGTTTGTTTGGGTATTGGGGATTGATCTCAGGGCCCCTCAACCACTGAGCCACATCCCAGTCCTATTTTGTATTTTATTTAGAGACAGGGTCTCACTGAGTTGCTTAGGGCCTTATTAAGTTGCTAAAGCTAGTTCTGAACTTGTGATCCTCCTGTCTCAAACCGCTGGGATTACAGGCGTGTGCCACCTCACTCAGCCTAGTAAGGAGTTTTTGTTTTTGCTTTTTGTTTTGGATTTTTTTTTTTTTTTTTTTTTTGGTGGTACTGGGAGTAGAACCCTAGGGGTACTCTACCACTGAACTACATCCCAAAGTTTTTATTATTTGACATAGGGTCTCACTAAATTGCCAGGGATGGACACAAAACTTGACACTCCTGCCTCAGCCAGAGTTACTGGATTATAAACAGGTGCTATGGCGCCCAACTCATTTTTTAGGTTTTATTTTTATTTATTTACTTTTGGTATTGAGGAATGAACCCAGGGGCACCAAACTACATCCCCAGCCTTTTTTTTTTATATTAAGAGAGCCTCACTAAGTTGTTGAGGCTAGCCTTGAACTTGTAATCCTTCTGCCTCAGACTCCTGAGTTGCTGGGATTATAGGTGTGCACCACTGTGCCCAGTATAACATCCAGTTCTTTAGTAGAAGTTTTAATATACAAATTAAAGATTATAATTCAATACTTGCCACAAGACTTATAACCTAAGCATTTGCTGAAGTAAAAAAAAATCACAACAGTCCAACCTGAATTTTTTTTTTCCTTTTCTTTTTTTGGTACCGGGAATTAACCCCAAGGATTCTTCACCAATGAGCCACATCCCCCAATACTTTTTATTTTGATACAGGATCCTACAAGTTGCTGAGGCTGACCTTGAACTTAGGATCCTCCAGCCCCAGCCTCCCAAGTCACTGGGATTACAGGCATGCCCAAAACACACAACTCTAAAAGCACCAGGAAGTAAATAGGGGTATAGCTCTGTGGTTGAGTTCTGGGCTAAATTCCCGGCACCAAAAAACAAATCAAAACAAAACAAAAGCACCAGAAGGTTTCTTTTACAAAATAACTTCAAAAATCACTTCTCATCACAGACTTAATAGCAGAGAAATTAGGTAAGATTTTTAGTTTTTAGAACCCCTCTAAAGTTTTTTAAAAGACTGATGCTAAAATTAACACTCACTTTTTTTTTGGAAAGGGGGGTACTGGAAGTTTAACCCAAAGGAGCTTTACCACTGAGTTAAATCCCCAGCCCATTTTATTTCTGATTTTGCGACAGGGTCTCACTAAGTTGTTTAGGGCCTTGCTAATTTGCTGAAGCTGGCCTTGAAACTACAACCCTCCTGCCTCATGGGCTGGATTACAGGTGTGAATCATCATGTAGATCTTAATTTTAACCTTTTAAAGAACAAGTGTAAAGGCTGACATAATCCCTTGATTAACTACTTTTATACTTTTGTTTTAATCTGATAAGCCTAACAAGGTCTCTTCCCGATAAGGAGCACTTATTGAACTCCACTGCCCATGGCAAGCAAGGAACAAGTGATGTGGCAGGAATGGGTGGGGACATCCTTCCAAGATTCAGAAAGTGGGTCCTAGGTTCGCCCAGAAATCTAATACTCATCAGTTCTCAAGACCAATCCCAGAAGCCTAGGAAATAGCCAAGCTAAAGCTATATCTCTCTCCAAAATCTGGCTTATGCTGGACATGGTGGTGCAAGCTTACAATTCTAGCAGTTCAGGCAGCTGAGGCAGGAAGATCACAAGTTCAAGGCCAGCCGAAGCTACTGAGCAAGGCCTTAAGGAACTTAGTGAGACCTTGTCTCAAAATAAAAAAATAAAAGGGGCTGGAGATGTGGCTCAATGATAAAGCATCCCTGGGTTCAATCCCAGGTACAGTAAAGAAAAAAAAAAATCTGGTTTGTGTCAAAAAGGTTACAGTTAGTCAAGAAAGTTGACAATCAAATGGGATGCTGAGGCAGGAGGATTATGAGTTCAAAGCCAGTTTTAGCAACTTAGCAAGGCACCAAGCAACTCACTGAGACACTGTCTCTAAATAAAATACAAAAAGGGCCGAGGGATGTGGCTCAAAGATTAAGTGCCCTGAGTTCAATGCCTGATACCAAAAAAAAAGAAAGAAAGCTGACAACCAGAAACCACTGTGCTTTAAATGTGGGAAAATAGAAAAGCAGATCATGAGTAGACAGATCAAGGGGACAACTGACAAAGCTAAGTGAATGACACACTGAGTCAGCCAAAACCCCTCAAATACAAACTTTGCACAACCTTGGCAATGTCGGGCTCAGAAGCGATCAAGTTGCAAAATCTAGTCATTGCACTCGGACCATCTAGCATGCCATCATCCATGTTGATATCCAGCACCTGGGCTCCCATTTCCACTTGCAATTTGGCAATACTCAGGGCTTCCTGAGGAGGAATGCAAAAGGAAGCATCATTAGAAGAGAGTGACTCAGAGAATGCTAACAAAAGTGATCCCCCACCATCCCCCAAGTATCGTTTCCAACCACTCTAGATTAACCAGCCTGGTTCCCTGTCCTTCTCCCTAGCTCTCTCCACAGATGAACCTGTCTCACAGGCCTTTTCCTTCATATTACCTCACTAAGAATCCACCAAAGCTGTTTTCCCACCATAAAAAATATAAAATCCTCAGCTTGTGGTCAAGGCCCTCTGAGCTAGCCCTGCCTTTTTACTCAGCCAAAACAATCCCCTTCTCTTCCACATTTGTTTAGAACCAGCTTAAGCTCCATTTCCTTTAAGAAAGTTCCTAGGAGAAATCATCCAAAACTCACGTCACTCTTCAGTATTTGCCAAAACATGAAAAGTATTAATAGGAGGCTGTTACTTGGAGTTGCATGAAAAAAACTATGATAAGTGTATTTTAGCATGTCTTTATACTGAAATGCTTATCAAATCCTTTCATATATGAGTAAACATTACACCCTTCAATAAAAGAATATGATATGCAGAATTTCCCACTAATGATCATATGGAGTATCTTGCAGGATCAATGTTCCAAAGAACACACTTTGGGAAACACTGCTCACTTCACAATGACCTGGTGTCTCTCAATATCATCATCATGTGGTTTATTACATTATCATTTCCTCATGCCTTCACAAGTACTAGTTTAAGTTTTCATATAGTTTGAAGCCTCTGGAAACCAAGAAAGGCCTTATATATCTCCTCTTAAAATGCTGGAAAAAATACACGATTGGTAATACTGAGACTTTTTTGTTATTATTTAAATCTTCAATATACATGTCACAGTGTGATAAAATAAGGAGAAAAATCAATAGTAGATACTGATATTGTCCTGATTTTCCTAAGTCCAAGAAAATCAAATAGGAATTTTAATCAGTCTCTGTGCACAACAGGCATGATACCCTCTGGCACATGCCACAATGAAATGCCATTCACAGCGAAGCAAGGCAGCACAGAGAAAAAGGATCACCAATCCATTTGGCAAATCATAAAATATTTTTCAGTATCAGTAATGATTTAAATAGTATAAAGAATAAGAAGTATAGCTGACAATCCCCATTCTAGAAGGAGTTACATCTAGAAGGAGTTAGTTGAGAGTATGTGACACAGTCACATAAAAACCTACCAGGCACTGCCATACAATGTAGGAAAGTACAAGTTCCCTATGGACTGAACCGAGGAAGCCATCTGAGAGGGGAAGTCCTCCGCTGGCCACTGGGGGATGGATTTGAGGAGACAGAAGGTAAGTGACAGAGGTCAAAAGACCTGGAAAACAGAGATGCCAATACCTCACCCCTCTACTTCATCGATCACAGAATAACCACTTGAAGGACCAACCCTCCCATTCAAGCTCAGAGAGAAAAAGTGGTTTGTTTATAAAAAAGCCTAAGTTGATCAAGAAGCCAGGACTGAAACTCCTCTCAGGTCAGTGCTCTCTCCACTAAGCCAAAGAGCCTTGAGGGATCACTGAGTCCTGGAAAACTAGACTAATGGGCACTCGTGCCACCCATCATCTCCTGCTTTTACTGCATCCCTCTCCTCTTTCCACTACGCAGAGTAGTGAAGGGACTGGGCTCAATGGACTGGGTTCTATCACTTACTTGCTAAAAGACAGGAATAACAGCAGTGCTCATTCATGGGGCTATGAAGAATAAACATGTAATGATAGAAAGCATTTAGCACAGAGACTGGCACAAAGAAAAACTTTATTAAAAAAGTATTATTAAGCCAAGCGCAGTGGCACATGCCTGAATCCCAGCGGTTCAGGAGGCTAAGGCAGGAGGATCACAAGTTCAAAGCCAGCCTCAGCAATGGTGAGGTACTAAGCAACTCAGTGAGACCCTGTCTCTAAATAATAATACAAAATAGGGCTGGGGATGGGGCTCAGTGGTCAAGTGCCCCTGAGTTGCTTCTTCTAAAGTGCTCCCTACAATCAGTGACAAATTCATCAAATGCAAGAGTTGAAGAGAACACCATAGAAAGGGCAGAAGAATCAAAACATAAGTCAAAACACTGCCAAATGCAGCATACTACATGATTAGGAGGAGACATCAGCACTTCAGAAGGAGCAAACAAGAGCTAAGATCCTGCAGCAGAAGCAAGCAGAACATGAGGAAGGGAAGCACCATGCACAAGTGTAGGATAGGAGGCTGGCCTCCAGAGTGTGAACTTCAACACATGCGGAAAGTTGCCACACAGAACTATGAACTGGGGAGGATAACCATGAGAGAAGCATATGGCAGCAGTAAGCAGTGACAAGAATGAAGGGAAGGGGACCAATCAGTTAGAAACCAGGTAACCAGGCCCCTCCCTGGGGAGGAAGACACAGCTTTGGGGAATGCTGTGAAGTGGTAATTGGCAAGTCCATAAAGGAAGATTAATGGACCATTTCTGTGTGATGTAAACTAAATCTGCTCTGATACTAATTTCTGAAAGATCTCTTTCTAAAGGTTGCAAAATCTTAAGAGTGAGAAAAGCTGAATAATAAAATTAACCAACATTAATGCTCAGACCAAATTCCTCTATTTTTAACATCATATTTGCAAAAGAAAAAGAAAACCTATTCATATGTCTCAGGCAGGCTCCATGAGGATTGAATTTTGCACAACCACAATAGGATTGAGGTTAACATGGTTAAAATGATCACATAAACTTTCTAAGGCAAGAACCTGTGTCTTTTCTTTATCTGTTTTAATCTACAGCTAAAAGGATCAATAATACCCTCATCTATCAGCATTTTATGAGGTCAGGAGAAATTGAATAGAAACTTTCTTGGCTTTCCTTTTTCCTAGAAGAATTTGTGAGAAAGAGGCTAGAGTTGTGGCTCAGTGGTAGAGCATTTGCCTAGCATATGTGAGGCTCTGCGTTCGATTCTCAACTCTGCATTTAAATAAATGAATAAAATAAAGATCCACCAACATCTAAAAAAATATTTAAAACAATTTGTGAGAACACAAAATGAGAGAACATTCCCAAACATATGAACTTACTTCATGATTAACAGAAATAGCTAGAGCCTGAATTGCTCCCATCTCGACCCTCTTTATGCCCAAATGCAGTACTTTTTGACAAATACTGTAACAGTAGCTTTGATTTTTCCTCCCCCTACTCCCACCTGCTACAAACACCCATTACCATCCTCTCACACTTCCTAGCAGTTCTGCTAACAGCACTACCAAGGGCAGAAGGATGTTCATTGACATGCTGACTAGCCAGAGGTAGGGCAGGTGCCTCCAGGTCTCATGAGGATGCTCACTTCATAGTTTCCTGCCATGATGAGTTTAGCAAACTTCTTGGATCCTGCCACGTTACAGCGCTCTCCAATGTTAACAAAGTTGGTGTATGGTCCAATCCTGAAGGGCTCTAGACCTTAAAAGGAGAAGCATTTTGAAAAACACCTGAAATTACATACAGATGACATGAGACAGACATAATTATTTTCAGTGAGAAAGAAGTCACTGTGCCAAAACCATTTGAGCAGTTGGACAGGAGATCCAATGTGGAAACAGGACCACAACCTTCTTAAAGGAGAGTCAAATGCCTACAACTGAACTCTCAAAAGAAGTGTTTCAGAGTTGTATGCCATAATTATCCCTAATGAGCTGAACCATACTGTTTCTGAGAAAGAAGAAAAAGTTTTATCATCATATCCATATTTAATCAAGAGTAAGGGGCAAAAGCCAAGCAAAAAAAGTTAGAATCAAGAGTTATTTCAGGATTTGTGAGAGGTCAAAATGAAGAGCATTCTCAAACATTTAAACTTACTTCATGATTAACAGAAATAGCTAGAACTTACATTGCTACCATCTCATACCTCTTGATGGCCCAAAAGCACCTAGCTTCAATTTTTTGAAGACTCATCCTCTCACTATTCCTGACTACTGCAAACATGTTACCAGTTACCCATCTTCTTACACTTCCTAGCAGTTCTGCTAATAGCACTACCAACGGCTATTATCCCAGCATCTCAGAAGGCAAAGGCAGAAAGATCACAAATTCAAACCTGGCCTGGGCAATTTGCAAGACCCTATCTCAAAACAAAATTTAAAAAGGGACAGGGATGTAGCTCAGAAGTGCTCCTGGGTTTAATCTCCAGTAAAACACACACACACACACACACACACACACACATTATGCCCAATGGTACAGTCAGATAGACTGAAGCTGGAGAGAACAAGCTCTCTTAATTTCAACATTGTGTGTATGCTTGTAACCAGAAAGGCTAAATCAAGCTGTGCAGAAGGACCCAGGTGGCAACCTGGAAGACAGACACCACTGTGGTCGGTCCACCAGTAATGAGCTGACCCAGTGCAGGCCAGCTGGGCTTTGACATCTATTTCCTTATCTCCTAACAAGTGATAGCATTTCCCTTGACTCAGGCCAACTGAGGGACACATATCAGTCAATATACATAGATACATTACACTGAGGTAAATTGCCCTACAGAAAAGACTGTGAACTCTTTTGTTCTGCTCATCACTTTTAAAATACTAAGCAATGCAGTCTCATTGAAGGGTAGTAGGCAAGCTCTGGGGGCAGAGAGCCCTGAATTCAATCCACTGACCTAATTGAACCTCAGGCAACTTCCCACACAGTCTCTGAGCTTATAAAATAGGCAGTGAAGTACTTGCCTTACACAATTGAAACTGGGTAACAGTGATGAGCACAAAATTAGCACCTGCAATAAGAGCTATCATTAAGAAAATGGTTTTCAAGTTCTGTGCAAATCATCAATTGAGGAAGAAACAGATATGAGGGAGAGGAAAATAATAAACTAGATGATTACAAAGGAGCTGGGTAATTATAAAACCATTCCAGACTGTTTGTTATGTTCTTAGAAGAAAATCGCTTTCCATAATTTCAGCTTATGATTTCCCATCCTGTTTGTAATGATCCCCAAGCTAGGCTCAGGGGCCCCTGATCTTTATGTTGACCAGAAGTTTGGAGGACAGGCAAACAGGGCTGCCAACTTTCATACGCTGAAGAGTTCTCATGTGACCTCCCTAACAGCATTTCACACAAAACCTTTGCTTCTGCATGAATGTGAAGGATCTAATACAAAAACAGACCTCTCAATTTTGTAATTTAGAAAAGACTGAGTTAAAAAGCACATTTGATGTCATTCTTAAAGTCTATCTGAAGGTGACTGTTAAAAAAATTTAGAAACAGTGCATAAAATTCAAATGGGGAAAAAGGATTATAATTTTTACACATAAATTCTAAAAATAACCACATGTAAATGACTGTCTGATTCTGACTCTGGCAGAGCTTGGATTCTGTTTGAGAGCTTAGCTGAAGTGATGCAGTCTTCAGTTAAGGTGAAACAAACTTTCCAGCCACACCTCCTTCTGTCAAAGCCACCATCAGAAATCATAAACTCTACTTTTGCCCTCATCCTCTGTCATTTGAAGCACACAGAGAAAAAAAGGGCTAAACTGTAGAGGTATCCTTATCGACAAAACTTCATAGCAGTTCTGCTAATAGCACTACCAACGACTATTATCCCAGCTTCTCAGAAGACAAAGGCAGAAAGATCACTGGGGCTACTTCTGTGCATATGGTCTCACTGAAAAAAAAGCCAATATTACTCTTGTTGTTACCTGTATTTTTATATCATGCCTTTCAGGACAACAAAAGCAACAAAAATATTTCAATAAAGAGATGCTAAATTATAAAATACTACAAAGTATAATTCTTCTTTGTGTTATGCATAGTTTCTCTTTAAAAAAAAAAGAACACTTTTTTGGATTAAACTTACCATCTAATACTCCAAGAAAGGACTGAGTCATAAATATGAAATTCAACGTTATTTTAATAGTTCAGAGGAGGATTCTTTTTACTAATATTCCTCATTTGAATATTAAAATACATGCTGAAAAAGAGGTTGTCTACCTCACAGGATTTCTTAGAACCAAACAATATGAACACATGACTCTTCCCAAGTGCTGATCACATGGCAAATAAAAATTACAACAATAAAATTTTCCAGGAAGATGTTGCTGCTGTTACCAAACATCAGCCTTGGCAGTTTGGAATTTTGAGTCAACTAGTACCATTGTAAGGCTGTGGCCAGGAGTATGTTTTAGCACAGTGTACAGTAGAGACAGGACCACAGAGTTCTCAGGGTAACCAAGGGCACTCCTGGGCCTTTATTCACTTTTACCCTGAAGGGATGTTCTGCCACCCAACCCCCAGAAATATAAAGCATTCCTCACTAGAATTCATTTAAGCACCAAGAAAAACAGGCACTCTTCTTTGACCTAATAAACAAATTTCTTGGTGAAACAATTCTGTTATTCTACCACTCAGAATAAACATACTAAATACAGCCTACAAATGGTTACTAAAATCATAATCACCACACCTTCATTACTTACCAGATAGTAACATATGTCCTTCAAAAACAGTGGCAGGTGGAACTCTAGGCTTGCAATTTTTCACAGCTTCAGCAATTTCCCTAAGTTAAAAGAGAAAACACTATATTCATTAACTCAGAATAAAATAAATTAAACTAATTTCCAACTATGAAATCAAGACTATTAACACAACTATGCACATAATAATATACCTACTTCCAAATGTGCAGCACAATTATGCCCTTTAGTTCTCTCAGTCCACAGAAAATTAATCTGTGACCCTTCACTTCTATGTGCCTGCCCAGCTGGCTATGAACTGGCTGTGCTGTTTCTGTTCTCAGAGGCATGAACCTGGAGCTGCATGAGGGTTTGTAAGAAAAAAATTGTAAACTTCCTCTCCCATCTCCAAACTCACAGATGTCCTTTACTCCAGCAAACCTACACACAAAACATGTCCTTGCTGCCTAGTCAACAGTTTAACAACAACAAAAGGAAGTCTTCAGTTTTGATGAGAAGGTGTACACAGGAGTGGAGAGAATGAGGTCCTGTGGATCCATTTTTACGATACCACACACATAGCAGGGAGTGTACATACTATTAACACTTCAAATAATTACTCCTCAAAATTTGTTTTAGCTGGCCGGGTGCAGTGGTGCATACCTGTAATCCCAGCAGCTCCGGAGGCTGAGGCAGGAGGATCACAAGTTCAAAGCCAGCCTTACCAATGGCCAGGTGCTAAGCAACTCAGTGAGAGCCTGTCTCTAAATACAAAAATGAAACTGGAGATGTGGCTCAATGGTTGAGTGCCCCTGAGTTCAATCCCTGGTATGGGGGTGGGGGTGGGGCAATTTGTTTTAGCTATTGCATTCTTTAACCTTATTTGCTTCTAATGAATCATGTCTTTTTTGTTTTATTTTGGTATTGGGGACTGAACCAAAGAGGTGCTTTACCACTAAGCTATATCCCTGTCCTTTTTATTTTTTGTTTTGAGACAGGGTCTCACTAAGTTCCTTAGGGCCTTGCTAAGAAGCCCTCACTTTACTGCCCCCTAAATTAATATGTAGATGTCTAAATAAACACATCAAATATATATAGACATATATTAATATACAGATGTAAATATACAGACATTCAGAGAGACATTTAAAACAACTCTATTTAAAGAGGAAATGAACTAAAAAACAGAAAGAAATTGTCTGTGATTCAATGATAACCCACATCAAACTACTACTGGGTTAAAAAAATTGGGGCTATTGGTGTAGCTCAGCAGAAAAGCACATGGTAAGCATGCAGGAGGCCCTGGTTTTAATCACACACAAACACACACACACACACACACACAAACACAAATCATATTTATTACGAGCTTATCATAGAAGTCAAACAAAGCACATAACTACTAGGCACAGTACATTATATGCATGAAAACAGACTTTAAACAGTGAGATGACTGGCTCAACATATGATCATTCACCACTCCAAAGGAAAACAAACAGTGCAAACTATGTTCTATTTCACTGAAATCCAATGTGCTATATGGCATAAAATGCTAAGTAAGTAAACATACACGTGGCCTTGCTCCCATATCACTCCCTTTCTTAACACACTCACTGCCTGGAGCCAGGCGGAGGTGCTTCTCTTGAACAAGACACTTGTTGCCTTACTGCCTTTTCCTTCCATGAAGGAATCTAATGGAGATATGTACTTTCCACAAGAAATACAAGCTGCCTCTCTTTCAGCATTCAAAGACTGTTTAAGGGTATGTTTTGACATCTGGGATTGGTTCTATGATATTCCTGAGGAACACATGGGGGATAGGTAAAATAAGAATAACAAAATTTTGAAAAATCTGGCAACTATTGTATAGGCACATGGAAGCTAATTTTTTTTATTTCTTTATTTTTATTTTAGAATTTTTTCACAATAGTAAGGCCTAGTACTTTGCTAAAGCTGCCTTAACAATGTACCACAGACCAGGTGACTTAAACAACAGACAGTTATCTTCCCACAATTTGAAGGATAGGAGGCTCTGATCAGGGTTGGTTTATCCTGAGGCCTCTTCCCATAGCTTGAAGATGAATGTGTTTTACTTGTGTCTTCACATGGTCTTCCCTTTGCATGTGCATCTGTGTCCTCTTATTTATAAGGTCACCAACCAAACTGGATCATGAACAGACCCACTCCTTTCACCTTAAGTGACTATCAAAAAGCCCTTTCTTCAAACACAATCACATTCTGAGCTACTGAAGATAGGACTTCAATACACAAATTTGGGGTATATATAAATTTAATTGAAAAAACTTAAAATATTTAAAGGTGATTATTACCTGATATGATCTGGTGTTGAACCACAGCATCCGCCAACAATATTGACCAAGCCATCCACTGCAAAGTCCTGCATTCAGGAAAAGTTTCTAAATTCTAAATTCACCAAGACCAATTAAGCATGAAAGCCTTTACTTTCTACATTCCCTGAATCACTAAGATTGTACCAAAGCAACAGCTAAACATATTTAACTTTAGATACAAAATTTTCACAATCCCTAGATATAAAAATAAAGTGGAAAATAATTCAGGTATGATGAAATCCCTTATGCCATTTAAAGTACAATGGGAAATTTATTTGCCTCTCTATGGAAATTAAAGATTTTCTTTACACATAAGCTAAGTTGAATGAGTGCAAGCTAGATTATGCATTTTCAAATAATACATAAAATGAATATCAGCTTTTCAATTTAATTTTTAAATTTTTAAATAAAAAATTCAGTTGCTCTGTCACACTGGCCACATTTCAACTATTCCAATAAGCACATGTGATTGTGCCTCCATACTGGACAGCATGGCCCTGGAGTTAGACCAGAGGCTGGTGCATGAAGAGCCCAGTAAGTAACATAGGAAGTTAAGAACCTGAGAAGTCGAAAGAGTGCTAGAAAGAGCACCCACACACTGAAATCGTAAGAATTGAGTCAGAAATAGTTTAATAGAAAATGTCAGTAAGCCAGGAGCTAAACACTCAAAGAATGATAGAAAAGAGGTATGGGGGTTAGTAGATGGGTACAATAGTTTATAGTACAGTCTCATGATTCAAAGATGCCAAGGGAGACAAGAATGATGCTAGAGGAGCTGTGGTTGTAGCTCAGTGGTAGAGCACTTGTCTAGCATGTGTGAGGCATTGGGTTTAATCCTCAGCAAACATTAATTTTTTTAAAAAAAGGTATTATGTCCATGTACAACTATTAAAAAAAGGGGGGGATGGTAGAGATGAGAATGGGGAACCAGGAGGACACCTACTCCACCCAGCAGTTTTAGGGACATAAGGGGAAAAATTCATTACTTGGGAAGGTTGAAGAGGAAGCAACATCTCAGAGAAGAATCAAGCCTCTATCAGTTTGGAGTGGCCTGCACCAGGACTTTTCAAAGAGTCACCAGTGCCAATCAACAATAAGGATGCTAACAGTTGGTCCTTCCCTATACCTCCACCACCTTAATTCAGAGTAGTTATGCTTTCATTATTAATGCCCTGGGATTTCTCTAGAGGGAAAATCCGCTTCTAAATATTCTAAAACCAAAATTCTATCTCTTTTTTTAAAAACCAAGTTAAAGAGGACCCCTGACCTTGAGGTGCATGGCCATCATAGTAGGTGTTTCATCATAGTCACCAAAAGTGTTGGGAAGACCTGAGAAAGGACATTTCAACCATTATTGAAAACTACCCTAACAAAAGTTACAAAATTTTATATTGATAATTATATTTTGCTTACCTGTAAAAGCAAGGAACACATAATATTTACCCAGTAAACACAGATTCCACACACAGAAAAAAAGGTCTAAGAATGTAGCTCAGTGGTAGAGCATTTGACTAGCATGAGCATTTTACTAGCTCTGAGTTCAATCTAGTACAACCAAAAGAAAAAGGAAAAAAAAAGTCTAAAAACCAAAAACAACCAGTCTCCTTTCAAATAAATTTTCCCAAGTTAAGACTTTATCCTCTCCTATCCAATTTCCTGTTTTATTTATTATCCTCTTCCATTTATCTTACTCTTGGTGGGAAATACAATTTATTATGCATTTTAAGATGTACATATTTGGAGACAGAAGGCTGCAAAATTATTTTTAGCCCTAAGTAGCTGAGCAGCTCTCAAAAATATTCACAGGGAAATCTGGCTAACCCAGATCAGATCACCAATATTTAACTGGATCGTTTGAGAATTATCTACAAATGCCATTGGAATTTTTACACTCAGGAAACTCTAAGTACATCTTTTAGAGAGAAAAGAGGAAACAACAAAGACTCTTCTGCTGCTCATCCACTAAGAGTGAAGAAGAGAAGGGCTCCCTGTCCTCATTTCCGGCAATCTAGTTGGCCACGTCCACATGCAAGCACTGTCACCAAAGGCAAGGTGCTGGTAGCTTATATGACCAGGCTCACTCCCCAAAGTTCTGTCCTACTGTGAGGCTTCAGGCTGGGCCAAACTCTTCCTTCAGATCGTGAGGGAAACACTGGTCTAGACCCAAATACTATTCATTTGGAAAATAAATCTCTATTGAGCAGCAACTCTATACCAAGACCTATGAAACAACCTCTTCTAATAATATCTACCATGCCTGTGTACATGGATCTCCCTTTGAAAAACACACCTGCATTGGGATAACAGAGAACATACGCTGTCGTACATTTTCCAATCGTTTCAATAAAAGGTCTCATTTCAGCTGCACCCAGAGCACAATTTAAGCCAATGCTGAAAAACAAAAAGAAGATATTAAAAGCATCATCTTTCATTCAGTGTATTTATACATATAAAAGTTATGATAAAGAAGAATAAACCAAGCGGACAATAAATCTCCAAATTCAAAGCACTTTATTCAGCTACAAAGCCATCTCACTGAGGTTCCATGCAGCATGGAATACTTTTGCCCATAACTCCACCTTCAGATATTTACAGTTAAAGTACCCTGTCTATGGATATGACTCCTTAAATTAGTTTACAGAATGTCTAGTGGCATACTATGGGACAGAAATGCCAGAAAAGTACCATTACTAATAAAAATGCAACCTCAAAATAATACTGAAGGAAGGATAAAATGTACATCTTACAGGTAGGAGAAACATGAAATGGGAGGAAAAAAACTACCCCATCCTAGAACTCCAGAAAAGCAGAACTTAGTCCCTGCTTCACAAGTAGAGTCCCTGCTACCCTAGAGTCAGGCCCCTGTGGCCTTCTGGAATTCAGATAACAACTATGAAGCTATTGGACCATGTGATATTTTGTTTTCATATTTTGCCTTTTTTCTTTGTTATGATTCCTAAGTACAATGTGGTACACTTGGTTGGATCCTAGAATAGAAAAAGGGTATTAGTAAAAAAAAAAAATCTTTAAATCCAAATAAAGTTTGGAGTTTGGTTAATAAATAGTACGAAACTCTTATTAGTTTTCTCAAAGTATCTTAGTTATGTAAGATGCTAATATTAGGGAAAACCAGATGAAGACTATACTAGAATTCCCCCTATTCTATCTTTTCTATAAGTCTGAAATTATTTCAATATAAAAAAAACCCTTATTTAACAATAAATACTCAGGGGAAAGAAAAAAAAAAAACCCATCGGCTAACTAACAATATAAGGGAACTTCCTCAACTTAATATAGAATATCCATTTTAAAAGCTCCAAATAACATCTGGTTAATGATGAGAATACAGAAGATGTTGCCCCCTAAGATCAAGAACAATGCTATGGGCTGGCATTGTAGCTCAGTGGAAAAGCACTTGCCTAGCATGTGTGAGGCACTCTCAGTACCACATAAAAATAAATAAATATCTGCTCACAGCTAAAAAAAAATTAAAAAAAAAAAAAGAACAATGCTATAATGTCCACTTTCATCTCCTAGTCATCTTTGTACTGGAAACCCTAATACAATAAAAGAAGCAAAATAGAAGATATACAGAATGACAGACTGGAAAAGAAGAAGTAAAATTGTCTTTGTTCACAGACTGTATAACTGTTTTTGTAGAATTTCCCAATCACTAAAAATTCCTATAACTGATAAGCAAATACACTAATGCTACAAAATAGAAAGTATACCAAAATCAATTGTTTACCTATATACCAACAATGAGCAACTATAATTTGAAATAAAAAACAAAACCATTCACATCAGCACCAAAATAAATTAAATACTTAGGTATATATCTAATAAAATACATATAACATCTCAAAGAGGAAAACTGTAAAATTTTAGTGAAGGAAATAAAACAGATTAAAATCAATGGAAATATACATTTATGGAGCTGGGATATATAGCTCAGTGGTAGAGCACTTGCCTAGGATGCCTGAGGCCCTGGGTTCAATCACCAGCATTAAAAAAAAAAAAGATACTACATATATAAATAAGAAGATTCAACACTGTGAAGATGTCAATTCTCTCAACTTGATCTATATTTACACTATCCCATTCAAAATCCCGGCAAGTTATTTTATGGATATCAACGAACTGATTCTAATTTATACACAGAGGCAAAAGACCCAGCCCAAAAGCTGAAGGATAACAGCAGAGAACTTACACTACCTGTCTTCAAAACTGACTAAAAAGCCTAAGTAATCAGGACAGGGTGGTGTTGGTGAAAGAAAAGACAAAGAGGTCAATGGAACAGACTAGAACGCCTAGAAATAATCTCATACAAAAAGTATCAACTGATCTTTTTAAAATTTTTTTTAGTTGTTGATAGACCTCTATTTTATTCATTTATTATTTATATGTGGTGCTGAGATTTGAACCCAGTGCCTCAACATGCTAGACAAGTACTCTGTTACTGAGCCACAACCCCAGCCCTCAACCGATCTTTGACAAAGGAGCAAAGGCAACACAAAAAAGAAATCAGTCTTTTCAAGAAGTGGAGCTGGAACAACTGAACATCCATTTTTTAAAAAACTGAATCTTGGACTGGGACTGGGGCTCAGCAACAGTGCATTTACCTGGCATGTGTGAAGCACTGGGTTCATTTCACAGCACTACATGTAAATAAATAAAATAAAGTTCTATCAACAATTAAAAAAATAAAAAATACTGAATCTTGCCAGGCACCATGGCACACATCTGAATTTTCACAACTCAGGATGCTGAGGCAGGAGTATCACAAATTTGAACCCAGACTGGCTTAACAAGACCCTCAGCAACATAGTGAGACCTTGTTTCAAAACTGAAAGAAGAAAAAAGGGGGCGCTGGGGACATTGCTTAGTGGTTAAGTACCCTAGGTTCAATCCCTGGTACAAAAAAAAAAAAATTAGAATTCTGGAAGATAATAACAGAGAAAATCTAGGTGATCATGGGTTTGGCAAAGAGTATTCAGATAAAACATCAAAAGCAGAATACATAACAGAAAAAAAACTTTAAGCTGAACTTCCCTAAAATTAAAAACTGCTCAGTAGTTAGAAGACCCTATGTTAAGAGCATGAAAAGATGGCCATGTGTGGTGGCACATACCTGTAATGCCAGCAACTCGGGAGGCAGAGGTAGAAAGAACTGCAAGTTCAAGACCAGTTTCAGCAACTTAGCAAGACCTTGACCCAAAATCAAAAGTAAAAAGAATGGGATGTAACTCAGTGGTACAGTACCCCTGGATTCAATTCCCAGTACCACAAAAGAAAAAACAAAAAAAAAGGTGGGGGGTTGTGGCTTAGTGGTAGAGCGCTCGCCTAGCACAAGTAAGGCACTAGGTTTGATCCTCAGCACCACATAAAAATAAAAAATAAAGGCATTGTGTCCACCTACAACTACCAAAAAAAAAGGTATTAAGGACTAAGGACTGGTATTCAAAATACATAAAGAACTTTTGAAACATTAAAAAAAAAATCTGAATCCAAAACTGCACAAAAAAATCAAACCAACAACTCACCAAGGAAAACAAAGATGGAAAATAAGCACATAATGTTGCTCCACATCCTATGTAATTAGGGATTGAAAATTAAAATGAAATACCACTATACACCTATTAGAATGACTAAAATCCAGAAGAGTAACAACAAATGCTGGTAAGGATGTAGAGCAACAGTAACTCTCACTCAGTGCTGGTGGGAATTCACAAAAGTACAGCCATGCTGGGCCTGATGGCACCCACCTGGAATCCCCGCTACTCGAGAAGCTGAGGCAAGAGAATCACAAGTTTAAGGTCAGCCTTGTCAACTTAGTGAGAGCTTATCTTAAAAAAAAAAAAAGGTTGTGGATCTAGCTGGGTGCTACAGTACCCCTGGGTTCAATTCTCAGTACTACCAAAAAACAAACAAACAAAAAATGGTTTCAGTTTCTTACAAAACTAAACATGACCCAGCAATCATGTTCCTTGTTATTTATCCAAATGAACTGAAAACTTAATATCTACACAAAAACCTGCAAATTAATATTCACAGCAGCTTTGTTCACTTTTAACCGAAACTTGGAAGCAACCAAGATGCCCTTCACTACAAATAAAACCATACATTTAGTAACAGAATATTACTCAGCACTAAAAAGCAATGAAAATACATGGGGGGAAGCTCAAATACACATTGCTGAGTGAAAAGAGCCAATCCAAAGAGCTTATATACTATATGATTACAATTATATTCCATTCCAAAAAAGACAAAACTATAGGACAATCAGAAGACTAGCTGCCAACAGACAAGAAAAAGGGATAAATTACACAAAGCTCAGGAGATTTTTAGTGAATGAAACTAGTCTATATGACACTGTAACGGTAAACATACATTTCAAGATTCATGGCATGGGGCTGAGTTTGAGGCTCAGAGGTAGAATGCTCGCTCGCCTACCATGCATGAGGCACTGGGTTCAATCCTCAGCACCACATAAAAATGAAAAAATAAAAATATTGTATCCACCTAAAAAAACTAAAAAAATAATATTAAAAAAAAAAAAAGGTTCATAGCATGTAGGGGGATCCAAGATGGCAGACTGGAGAGAGGGTGCATTTCTTGTCGCTCCATGATGAGAGATTCAAGCAGAGGAAATACAACTTCTCTACAAGGCAGCCTTCGCTGCCCACTGATCCCCTGCTGTTTATCCCACATTCGTCTGCGGCAATCACCCACCAACTACCAGCATATCGCCACCCTTCTGAGCACAGATCTCTTGCTGACTGCTGCCTATCGTCCACCATTTGCCCATTTGCCCACCTCTTGCCTGCCCATTGCCCAACCTCCAACAATCCACCCGCGGATCACCCGCCTTTAGCCTGCAGACTGCCCGTTGCCTACTGCAGCCTGGAAATGCACTGTCAGAGTAGCAACAAGTTTGCTTTGGCATGGCTACCACCATCTTGAGATGCCAGTCAGGGCCTGCAGGTTTGCAACTGCCACCACCACCATCTCAGGGCATGGCCGCCTCAGTCTGTAGACACCAGCCAGGGCCTGGGGATATACTGTGGGGTATCTGCAGGTCTGGTTGCACCTGACCCTCAAACAACATAGTGAGACCCTGTTTCAAAACTGAAAGAAGAAAAAAGGGGGCGCTTGGGACACTGCTCAGTGGTTAAGTACCCTAGGTTCTTAATGGTATGCTAGTGGCCACCATCTGGCTGCCTCTTTGCAGGGTCACTCCTTTGTGTGAGCACATCCCTGGTGGTCTCTCTGCAAGATGAAACGTCATTAAGATCTTGAGACTGCAGCAAGGCAGAGCCTGGGGAAGCCAAAGCCCAGCTCCATCAGATTGCAGCTGAGTTTGTGTGGGCCAGTCTGGGTCTAGCAAGCCT